ATCGCGCTACTCCGATATGATCCGCGGAACTGCTAATCGCGGATCTCGCATAATGGTTCCGCGTAACTGAATCCACGGAAGGAATGCCAGTGGGCCTGCGTATCTGTCTATGACCACCTTATCTTGTCATCGGGATTTGCCCACCAAACCCAGAGAGGCTATAACCGTGCTAAATCGGGTGACCCATTAACCTTTGAGCGACTAGCTCGACCGGGTCCGGGTCAGCTCGCGGGTTGACAACATTGCCCATTGGCGTCGAATTTGATTGCAGGTGACCCCAGATTTAATAGGACCTGCCCTCAAGTTTAGTAGTACCCGCTATCACAAAGTGGCCAGTAAGACCGAGGTTCATCCTGGGTAATAAAAAAAAATTTCAAGAAACAACATTGAGTATATGCATGATCCTAATTATTATAATATAAAAGAAAGTAAATCCAGTCATGATGAAGCCCATAATTATTAGCGAACCACCTCTCCTAGACCCTAATCCAATACGTTACATTGATGTTCTCCTTATGTTAAATGAATCGCTATTTGCCGCCCTAGTATTTACTATTTGCCGCCCATAATTTTAAAATATAAGACGATTTTGCCCTTCTTCCAACTAACTCAAACCTATCTAACCCGCCGCCGACCAACTTCCTTCCTCCTTCCTCCTTCCTCAAAATCCTAACGCCGGCCGACCAGACCCCTTTACCGTTGCCCCCACCGCCGAAGACCCCTCCATTCGCCGCGGTGTTGTCGTCGTCGCCGTCGAGAAAGCAGCTTGACGAGAAACTTTTTTTTTTTTTGTGTCCGCTCGCCGGAGGCGGACGGGGTCCGACTGCCAGACGCGGACGAGGTCCGAATTTTGGTGGCGGACGGGTTCCGAGACCTGGCGGCGGATTACTATTTTTTTTTTCAAAAAACGTTTTTGAATTATTAATTATTTATTTAGTAATTAAATAAATGCAAAATACCATAATTAGTATTTAAATAGTTATGTTGTTTTAAGTAATTATAAATCCGATAATTAAGCAAATTAAAAAGAGTTTTTTAAGGCAAGTTTTCGGAAGATGAAATTTGAGTAGCAAGTTTTCGGAAGGAAATTTCAGTAATTAACAATCGGGCAATAACCCACGTCCCCTAATTACACTCAAACACGTATGGAATATAATTTATCAATATATATTTTTTTCCAATAAATAAGAACCCGTATGTTAGTTAGATTAAAGGTTAATAATTATATTATTATGTTAAATATATATATTCACGGTTGAACAAATCTAACCCAAGATTACCAATAATTATATGATGTTATCTCTAATCAACAACCTCGAATTTGTAGGGATTTCCTTTTTTGCCCGGGACACTATTTATAATTAGTTAGATTAACGGTGGAATACAATTTATTAATATATAATTTTTTAACATAATTATCAAACACTTATGGAATTTGACTTGAACACTTATGGAATTAGGGGAAACATAATCATCACGTCTAAGCCATAATAAATAATATTTTCTATTATTAATTATTTCCTTCTTTGATTGCTACAAACGGAATTAGGGGAAACATAATTTAATAAATAATTTCCTGTTTTAATAGTAGTTGAGTTTAATTTAATCACTTAAAGTTTTTTTTTTTTTTTGCGTAAAATAAGTTTAGTGAATAAACGTGGTGAGACAGGAATTAGCTAGATTAACAGTAACAAAAGATGAAATCATATGTTCTCCCTCTACACATTCTACCTCTCTCAAACCCTAAACCCTAATTTCCACAAAATAACTAACTTCAACCTCGATCCATCCAATCCTACTACGACATTGTCTTAGAGGCAAAATCGTCTCTGCCTCGACTAACAACAATCGTTCGCATCGTGAAAATACTCATGGTAGGCCCAAGAAACTACTCGTTATGACCCCCACAGCCCCAAAAACCTCGATAAAATTTGTGACACTATTCATTCTTTTTTGTCCCGGATGTCCAATCGATAAAGGGATGATTCCAACATGTTCGTATCCATATTTTAGTGAAGCGATGAGGGGTTTAATAATTTTTCACGTCTTTTACACAATTAAAATAAATTACGCATAAGCTTGTAGCCTTGTACAATATTTATGATCATTTATAATTAAATATCCATAATATTATACAACATTTTTTATAAATTATAATTACTTAACAATATAACTAATTGGTCAAGGTCACACCCTAATCTTGTTAAACCGTAATCCGGTCAAACAATAAATTAATATTATTATATATAGTTAATCACTAGTTTTATCTAATTTAGAGATTTTATCCCTACCAACCTCTTTTCTAATTAAATGATAATATTAATATAATAATGTCAATAACCTCCTAATCCAACTCACTCACGGGAGAATATTTGGTAAAAATCATTAGTTACTAAAAATTATAGAGTTTAGTGCTAATTAAGCGCGCCATGTTGTGCTCTGTTATGGATTTCTTCAATCCTTTCCAACTACCCACGTCTAATTAGTATAAATATTCAATTTATTTCCTTAATTAATGACCGGCGATATTAATGCTGAAAATAATTAATTATTAACACACTTTTTATTATATTCCGCTTATCTCTCCCCCGTAATCCCTCCACCATTATTTGCGGCTCGTAATTCGGTAAATTGTTAGAGCATCCATATTGATATTGCATTCTCAAGTGTAAAATGACATGGCATAGGTGTTTGCAATTGTAAAACCAATTGCATTGATGTGGCTACCAATTGCATATTTGCAAACTTACAACAAATGCAATTCCATATGCAAGTAAAAAAAGCCTAAAAAAATGGGAATTTTTTATTTTTTATTCTCTTTTACTTAATTTTCTATAATTTAAACATAATATTTAATTACATTTGCAATTGCAAGTTAATTACATTGATGTAGGTGAATGAAATTAATGTGATGTGGATTGCAAAAAATTTGAGTTGACAATAAAATACACAAATGAAATTTCTTTTGCAATTGCATTGATGGAGATGCTCTTAATGGAAGGAGTTAATATTGATTTAGAAAGTATAAAGCTAAATAAATGACGGAATGTTAGGAGTTAATAAAATAAAAAGACTAATTATTGGGCAAAATACACGGGATGCAGACCAACTCTAACCCCATAATTATTAGTTTTTTTTCCGGTGATTTTTGCTATCGCCCCCACCACAATTCCGGGAACGCGTCCGACACAGGCTGGCGGACCGCGTCCGACGGCGGCGATCGGACCCCGTCCGATGGAGGCTGGCGAACCCCGTCCGACGGGCGGCGATCGGACCCCGTCCTATGGAGGCTGGCGGACCGCGTCCGACGGGCGGCGATCGGACCCCGTCTGATGAAGGCTGGCGGACCCCGTCCGATGAAGGCTGGCGGACCCCGTCCGAAGAGCGCAGGCGGGGGTTAAAAAAAAAACTTGGTCTTGACGGCGAGCTCCTTCCTCGGGCGGCGGCGATTTCTTTCTCACGGTGGCGGCGACAGCAATAGCAGAGGCCACCTCTTCAACAGTTGGCGGCGGGAGGGGAGGCAGACCCGCCGGCGGAGGCGAAGCAGACTCGCCGACGACTTCGAGGGGATGCAATAGGTTTAAAACGAAAAAGGGTAAAATCGTAATTTTACTTATAATTATGGGCGGCAAATAGTAAATTTTAGGGCGGCAAATAACAACCCTCTATGTTAATTAACCAACTCTACCAATTGCTAGGTTGTAACTCCAATTTCAGAAACCTTGAACAACCATTCCTCGATAGAATCGCCATTTCCTTCAGCAAAAACAATGTTATGCATACCTAGCCTCCTGTAAGTATGATGTTCCCAAGAACAACAATATAAACCAGAAGAATACTTAGTTACTAACCCACATCAAGAAAACCATATGATTAGCCATTAGTAGATTAACCAAATAGTTGGGGATTTTCAAACTAAAGTTGGGGGAAGAAAAGGTGATTGCTTTTTAGCATGCCAAACAAAGACTGAGAGGAACCAAAAAGCAACAGAGCCATACGTGTCTGTTTGTTGCACTAGTACTATTGTCACTGTAGAGGCACACTCAAGTTTGAAAAATTCAAAACTGGGGGACTGTGTATTAATGAGTGTTTTCTTTCAAAAAAATTATTTTATGATTGCTTGCTCTCTTGTCAATGGCGTCCCGAGTGGGAACTGGGAATGGTGGCGGCCAAAGCTCAAGGAAGTGCAAGTATCTTTCATTTTAAAAACACACTAGGGTTGATAGCACACAAACGATTAAATATAATGCAACCATTATACAATGATGATCATTGATTACAATAATATCAAATCATAGTGTAGTGTTGTTCAAGTTCGATCAGACATGCAATTTGTTGAGCACAAATGGGATCTGGATGTTAGCATTGATGAAACGGAGTGATGATAACGTGATGGGCTGGCGGGCGGGTATCTCAATATACAGGGGTGGAGCCAAGAATTCGAGACCGGGGGCCAAAAAATTAAAAAAAAATTATGTAACCAATGTGGATCAAATCCATGTGCTTTTAGGACATAAGCTAAACTTGGCTATCATTAGACCACATAACTATTACATGATAAAATTTACCGAACAAGTTCTACTTATAAAATTTGTTCTATAGATCCTTAACGACCTGGGGCCCGGGGCCCACCCTAGCTACAATGTAGCTACGCCCCTGTCAATATACACATTTACTTCACACGAAGTGTGGAGCAGATAATATTGGCAGGGTTGCGGTAGGTCGACCTATTGCTATATTTTGTTTGAAAAAAGAATATTGGTATTTAAATATTTTACAATGACACACAGAAAAAACGCTTCATATATGAATGATATATATACTAGAATTGAAAGAAAGAGTTTTAAAATTTGTTTTGAAGGAAATATGATTATGATTTTAGAAAGATCAAATGAGGAGAAATATATGTATATATTGATAAAAATCATGATAGAATGGGCCGAGAACGAGACATAATGAATTAGAAGCTATACACACATGCCTCGTCCCCATGCTACCGCGGGTCGAGTAATATACGCCCCAAACAGGCCGGATAGATCAAATCATGCGGGCAAAATAAAAAACTACCATCACCAATGATGCATAGTCTCATGCGTGCAACTCTTTGCAACTGTTGATCGGGTGGGGGGTGCGCTTTGCTTTCGTGCAACTCCCTCGTAGTGGAAGAATGTTGTTTTTGAAAGGAAATGTCATTTCTATGTTATTAGTAACCACTAAATGTCCTTAGTTCATAATATCTCGCTTAGCTAATTTGTGTGACTCGTAATTAACTTCTGACAGGTGAGTAGTGACTAGGGCATACGATTTTCAACAACTTGACTTTTTGGCCCGTGGCAATCAGTGTTAAGTTGGTTATATGGTAATGTTACTAATGTATACTCATGATCTGCTCTTTCAAACCTCATGTCACTTGTCACCTGCTAATCTTATCTTTCCAAATGCCAAAGCGATTGACCCTAGCCAAACCGACTGGTTTACCCGAATCTCCCTCCCATTGAATTTTTCTCGATGGTCTCACCATTGAAGAATTTCTTCTTCATTTTTTCTTATAGCGAGTCTTCCAACCTCTGACAACGCAGGACTCCCTTACCCCACAATCTAGGCCACTCTCCTCTCTCTCTCAAAGCTGTCATCCATCACGTGATCCCTTCCTTTCCTTCTCCGTTCTCTCTCAGACTCAGTTCTCTCACGGTCTCACCCCATTTCCCCATTTCCCCCCTCTACTACGATATTCGTCTGAAACCACGCGCCATTGCCCCCATTCTTCATCTGTCAATTGTTATTCCATCCTCTTGAGCTTCTTCACTGCTGCGTGTATATTGGCTCGATCTGTTCCCTGCTTCCAACGCTTCTCGCCATTTCCTCTCCCTGATCTCCGCTTTGCCTTCTTCTGGAGGCAATATACGCCCATAGGTATACTAACCTATTTAATTATTTCCTGCCCTCCCTGACGTCTGATTGGCTTTTCCTCAACTGGGTTTGTGAGTTTCAGCCGTAAAGTTATTGCCTTCGTGAGCTGTTGGAAGGGCTTTTGTGGGGTGTTTTCCAGTAGGAGATCAATATTTGTTCTATTAGCTGTCGGTTTCTCTGCATTGTATGTAACATCAAATACTTTTTCATTTTGCTGTTGTTTTTTCTTCTTCCTTCTCTAAGTTCATGTTGGTTGCCTAGATCACTCTCTCTTGTGCATTGTGGGCATCTTCTGAGGTGATCTTGGTGATGGAGCTTGTGACAATCGTTTCTTTCGTAGCATTCTGTTTTCCCCTTCAAGGCTGTTTTTGGTGTTGCATCGAGGGTTTTGGGTATTTCAGCTTTACTGTGTTGTTGTTGCTCCAGCTTCACGACTTGTTGAGCATGCTCACAGATATGTTTATTTTCAAGCTGCATTCTTTGTTGTGGCGTCCCTAATCTCCCAATGTTCAATTTCTAGCTTTGATTTTTTTCTGTGGCGACTTGATTCGCTTGGCTTAGTTAGTGTTGGTGGTTGTTTTATTTCCTTTTGAGTTTTTTTACCTCGAAAATGTAAGAAACTTGGCCGGGATTGTAATCATTTTTTCCTTCGCTGCCTTTGACAATGTGCAGTCAATGGGTATCATTTCCCGGAAGATAATCCCCTCTTGTGGGACGATGTGCGTGTGTTGCCCTGCTTTGAGGTCCAGATCTCGGCAACCTGTGAAAAGATACAAGAAACTCCTTGCTGATATCTTCCCAAAGTCTCCAGTGAGTCTCAACCATTTGTTCCTCTTTCTTTACTGCCCTTTTTGATATCGTAAGCCGGTGCTAATCGTTAGTATCTTGCTTAGTTAGTATTTGGAGGAAGCTATGGGATTGACTTTTTAGGAGTTTGAACAATGAGTCATATCTTTCCTATGTATGAAGCTTCTGCACAAATACTTAAGATGAGCCATGCACAAATATTGGAGTGATTCTCTGGAAGTCTTACTTTTTTATTCTATTAATGTGAATGATGAGTATAGTGACATAATATTTTGTTGGCTTAGTTTCCTTAACATGGTCTGTGACTCTAAATAACCTGCATGTTTTGTGTGATTCGTCTTCATGATGCATTTGGGTGAAAGAGAAACATGAAGTGCCGTATAAATGTCATATGCATCTGGTTGGGTGACCAAAATCAAACTAGAATCTTTCGGATTGCTTACTTATGCTGTGATCTCTTTCTTCGACAGGATGCACCTGCAAATGAGAGAAAAATTGCAAAGCTGTGTGAATATGCGGCCAAAAATCCAATTCGAATCCCCAAGGTTGCATTTCGGTTCACACTGAAAGATGTTTATGGCATAACTATACCGTATCTCATATTTTCCCATTATTATGTTTTAATAGATTGCCAAGTATCTCGAAGAAAGATGCTTCAAAGAACTACGGAGTGGCCATGCAAAATTCATCAATGTTGTTATGGAGGTTTACAATAAGTTGCTTTGCATTTGTAAGGAGCAGATGTAAGTAACACATGATTTTTGTTCCTATTGATTTTTCATGTCTATATATATTTGTATTGCTGCTGTGGAATTCAGTATATTTGCTTTAACCCTTGTCTCTGTATCTTCCAGGGCATATTTTGCTGTCAGTTTGCTGAATGTGGTCAATGAGCTGCTAGAGAGACCTAATCAATATGCTATGCTGATTCTCGGATGCCAGACCTTAACCAAGTTTATCTATAGTCAGGTGGTATTCTCTATTCTGATTTTATATTAACTCTGGAAGTTGGATGGACAAAATGTTGTAGATTATGCGGTCAGGTGGATTAATTTGAATGGTTAATGCTGAACAGGTGGATGGAACTTATGCACATAACATTGAAAAGTATGCTCCCAGGATTTGTAAACTGGCACATAGGCACGGGGAAGAAGGTAGTCCTAGCAGCTTAAGGGCATCAAGTCTCCAATGCCTCTCGGCCATGGTATACTTCTGAATGAAGTACACTAAAAGTGTTGCTATCTAGAATTCTGGTATCCCATTTTGACTTATTTTCTTGTAGGTCTGGTTCATGTCGGAGTTCTCGTATATCTTCCCTGCTCTGGATGAGGTTAGTTATTTCGAGTGGATCCCCTTTCGTTATATACTGTGCAATTTGTTGTTAACTTGAGGTAAACTGCAGATTGTGCATTGCACTTTGGATAACTACGAGCCTGACTCTCATATTGAACATGATGGTGAGAGAGGTGAATCACATCATAATTGGGTGAATGAAGTTGTTAGAAGTGAAAGAAGTGCTGTTGTTGGTAATGATTCTAGCTCCACGGCCATCATTAGTGCTCGACCAGAAAAGAAAGATCCTTCTCTTCTTACTAGGTGGGCATTTGTATTATCTAGGGTGAGATTGTGATCCCTTTTTGTTGTTTCCTTAATCCTTTAAGCTTTATGTTGTAGGGAGGAGATTGAGCAACCAAGAGTATGGGCACAAATTTGTGTTCAAAGAATGGTAGATCTAGCAAAAGAGAGCTCAACAATGCGATGTGTCTTAGATCCAATGTTTGTCTACTTTGATTCTGGACATCACTGGGCTCCACAGCAGGGGCTTGCTCTGGTAGTTTTGTCTGCCACGTCATATTTTCTGGAGAGTTCAGGTACCCTAGTTGAATTTATAGTTCAGATGTGTGATCGGCAGCAACTGGTAAGCTCTAATTGCAATTTTCATTTCCAGGACATCAGCAGTCGGTGTTATCTGCTGTAATTCGCCATTTAGACCACAAGAATGTCGTCCATGATCCGCAGCTCAAATCTAATGTTGTACAAGTTGCGGCTGGTCTTGCTCGGCAGATTAGATCAGTTACAGTTCTTGCTGAAGTTGGATTTGTCAGTGACTTGTGTAGGCATTTAAGGAAGAGCCTTCAAGCCTCAGCAGAACCAATCGGAGATCAGGAATTGAATCTGAATGCCTCACTGCAGAACTCCATTGAAGATTGCTTGCTTGAAATTGCGAAGGGGGTAAGTTAAAAGCATGTAAAATGTGTACAGTTTAGTTGGATTTTCCTTCTAAAACTTGCATTAATTTTTGTAGATTGCTGATGCTCAACCGCTACTCGACCACATGGCAATGTCGCTAGAGAAACTACCGTCCTGTGGAATTGTTGCTCGCGCAACCATTCGATCGCTAATGATTCTTGCTCATGTGGTTTCATTGTCTTCAAGTTCTCAGCAGGTGATCATCGGATAAATGGTTCTGTATATTGGTTAAGTACTGCTCAACAAATTAGTTCACAATGGCTATCTATCAAAGTTGGCATGTAAATGAACTCACTGTGATCCTACTAAAAACTTCCATGCAGGCTTTCCCAGAATCACTTCTTGTTCAGCTTTTGAAAGCAATGTTGCATGCAAATATTGAAGTGCGGGTTGAAGCACATCAAATATTCACAATTCTTCTCATTCGGAATTCAAAAAGTCTTGGACGAGAAGCGTCTGCTCGACCTAGTTACATTTGTGAACCGAAAAGCTGGCGTTCTGGCACAGCATCTACATTTGCTTCGATTTCTGCACTACTTGATAGGCTACGGAAAGAGAAGGATGGTCCTGAAGTAAATGGAGTGCATGATGACTGCAAAGAACGGGACACCTTGGAAGAAGAATGGAAGTATGGACGGGCTAGAAAGAATTCACCAAACGTTTACAAGATTAGCTCAATCATCGAGAGGACTACAGGGACACCGGGATTGGCTGAGGCTGCTGTATGTTACTCCCTGGTTCTTCAAGTATCTTCGTTACAGTTTAGGAGGTCCTTATAGGTACTTTTTTGCAGGAACCATGTGTTTTGAAGCTAAATGAGGATCAGATTTCACAGTTGCTTTCTGCCTTTTGGATGCAAGCCAGCCTTCCTGACAACACACCTCCAAATCTTGAGGCCATAGCTCATTCTTTCACATTGACACTTATTTCTTCTCAATTGAAGGTGGGACCCCAAATTTTTTCTCAAGAAGGATCATGTATCTTGATTAGCTCTTGTCGCACCCTTTTCTCCCCTCTTTTGCACTGATACTCTCTATATTGTCCTGCTTTTCTAATTTTGATTGATATAACCCTGTTGTTACAAGAATCCAAGACCTCCTGTAGATTCAGAAAGTTACTGATGATATGATCTCGTAATTTTGCAGAATACAAATGGAAATTTTGTGGTCCGATTCGTTCAGCTTGCTCTCTCTCTCAGACAGTTGTCCTTGGACGCTAACAATGGTACATATGATTTGTTCATGGATTACTTAGCTTTAAGAGAATTATCAGTTCAATCACTAGTAGATTCTTCTACTTAATCTTTTGTCAGGGATGTTGCATCCAGCATGCAGAAGATCAGTTTTCGTCTTAGCAATGAGCATGCTAATGTTCACAGCGAAGACATACCAAGTTCCGGAGTTGAATGACTTGCTCAAGCGATTGGTCCCTGATGATGTGAGTTTTAAATTGTGTTGCAATTTATCTATTATCAGTTAACATGTATCTGCGTCAACAGAAGACTGACTGTAGTTTATATACTGGATGAACTCAGGTTGATCCTTATTTGGGAATTAGCAACGATTTTCAGATATATGTGAAGCCCCAGTCCGACTTGAAAGAATTTGGGTCCTTTAAAGATAATTCATTGGCTATGTCAGTGTTAGATGAGTTGAAGAGCAGAATATCTGAATCCGAGACCGCTATGATGAACATCTTAGTTCTGAACCTATCTATCACTACTGAGGTACAGAATGAAGTTGATTCATTTACTAGTTCATTCCCTTCTCACTTAGCTAATATATATGTGTTTCTACGTCTTAAGATGGAACCGGATGAAGTCGCCAGGCAATTGTCAGAACCATTTGCTCCTGATGACATGTTAATGTTTGGTCCACGATCAGTACTTGACCACCACCGAGTTGCTTCTCATTCCAAGGAATCACTATCATTCGACGAGGTAATGTTCTCTTTTGGGTGATCATTCATTACAACTTCGAGAGGGTTTGAGTGTCGAGCATTGATGATATTAGCATGATGCAGGATGTTCCGAGCAATTTGATCGAGGATGATGCCACGAGCGAAGCATCAGTCTCAGACCTGTCCCGGTTCATCCCCAAAATCCCTTCGTCGCCTTCTGTCTCGCACATTATCAGCATCGGGAAGCTACTAGAATCAGTAAACGACCTGTTTTCCGTTCTTTAACTTTCGGTGACGGGGTTTCCCAACAAATGTGCTGATGGTCTCGTGCTTTTTCCAGGCTCTCGAGGTAGCTGGACAAGTCGCTGGAACATCGGTCTCCACATCACCCCTCTCCTATGACTCGATGGCCAGACAGTGCGAAACTCTCGGGACAGTTAACAGAAAGAAGCTCTCGACTTGGTTGGCCCACGAGAATCAGCTAGCTACTAAGCCAGCCGCCGACAATTACCGCTTACCATCCGTTACAGCGAGTGGGGCTGCATTACCATGGCAGGTTAGAGAGGAGAAACAGAAACCCTTCTATTCCTATCATATCTTATCTCATGCATGTCTGTTTCGCATAAACCGATTTTCCTCCTTTCCTTTTGTTTTATTTTCGTGCAGATGTCATGTAAGAGTGAGGTTGATGGAGGAGAGCTGAAGCAGAAGACTCCAACGGAGCAGTATTTGCCAATGAAGCTGCCACCTGCAAGTCCTTATGATAACTTCCTCAAGGCAGCTGGATGTTAGTAGCCCAGAAAATTGCGTGTTAGCTGTACGTAAAGTGCCTTAGTTTTAGGGAAGTAGAGCTTTTAGATGCAGACCAGGTTATGTTTGTAGCAATGTAGGATCCAGTGACGGGTTTAACCAACCCTTTCAAACTCATGTTTGTCTAATGTCTATGTAAGTTAACACTAATGGTCTTTGCATCGTACAGACCTCGAATAGTTAACTGAATTCTATCGTCATTTCTCAAGTTATATATTTTGGTAGTAGTGTGTTTCTCTTGTTATAACCATTGAGTTGACATCGTCTTTGCCTCGTACACTTGCTAGTTGCTACGAATGAATTGTCTTCTGAATTACCATTACTAATAATTATGAAAATAACTCAGCTAAAAGTTGGGAACAAAGCTACCTAACCAATATAATAAGGATTATCCTTTTAAATACTTCACAGATTCAAATTATATTTTTTCTCAAACTTCCACGTCAGTTGTCAGTTTTTATTTTCTTCGTCACTTTTAGTTTTATTTTTGCTTTTTAAACTCAAAATTAACTAAAAAGTAAACCAACATAAAATAAAAATAAGTATTACTAGAATTCGACCACACAACCTACCGATTTAGATTCTGATAGTGTAAAGTTTTTAATCAATAATGCAAACTATATTCGATAATATTAATTACAAAACTTATAATATAAACTCCATAAATTTTATAGATTAGTTTTTTTTTTGGAAGCCGTCAAATATGTTAGTTAGTTACTATAAAAATTGGGGGAGAAATACACTAGTGATCAAAATAAACACTTTGAGAAATAGGTGAATGATACCATTAAAGTGAATTTTGGACACTTGATACCATGTAAGTCAATTAAATATAGGGTGATTTTTCAATGGAGACAATGTTTTTTTTTTTTTACAAAAGCTAATCATATATTGATTCATCAAAAAGACAGTTACATCCTGGAATTCAGCTAGGTCTGGAAATCAAAGAAACGACTCATAGTCGGATACAAAGAGAGGGTCTTTCTAGCCACCAAATGAGCTATCCTATTGTTTTCCCGACCTACAAATCGCACACTAAAACCAGAATGGATATGAAAATAATGCATGATCTCCTCAAGTACAACAATCATCTGGTTGTCTCTTGATCCATAGAAGTGACATTTGAATCGGATCAAAGTAAAGTGAATCCTTGATCCATAGAAGTCTCTTATTATTTGACCGCGGTTCTCCCGAGCGGACAGGACTATCGCGTTTACCGAAATTACCGTTTACCACCCCTAATGCACACCCTAAATGAGACGATCAACCACAAGGCAAAACACGTTTGTGTTTATTTATTTATGAATGACAGTAAAATTAAGAAGAGAGTGTATGACTATCGCGTTTCAACGAGGATAAAGGTCGGATGTAGGGACGTCATTGCTCAACAAAGGCAGAGCCTCAGCGGAAGGAAAAGAGCCACCGTCGGTAACTGATCTCGCCCTCGAAGTTCTGCTACTGTAACCCCACAAAGAAGTACCACCTCCGGTGAAGAAACCCGGCTCGGAAGGCAACGGCAGGGTCATGTAATGGCTACTCAGCATCAGAGCAACCGCGGCCATTGTCGGCCTCTCGTCGGCGTTCGGTCACGGCACTACAGAACTCGCCAAACGATAATATCAATCCAAAGCTTGCTTGCATTTACAAAGATCTCTCTGCAAGCCGAGAATTGGTTGGACCGCCGTTAAACTCCAGGTCGCAAGTGGGTTCTGTTCTGTTCAGTCCTGCGGCGGCGGCGTCGCGTGGAACCGTAAGCCTCGCATCTCTGAAACAAAGCTTTTGAGATGTGTTTGTCTAGGTAGTTTTATTTAAAGGGGCACCACCTTTCTTCCTCCGTCCAACTTTGTGGTTCCTATTTTGTTTCGGTCTTGGAAATCATCATCGACCTGAATTCAGTCAATTATAAATAGGAGACGAGACAAGACCGGCGATAGAGTATCAGAGATAAGGTGTTACAGAAAGTTGTAGTCTTCGAAGAAAGACACAGACCACCATCTCATCTGCAATACGTATAATGTGTACCAGTGAGATCATCCCCGCAGAACCAGATTGGTCAGCTTTGCCAGATGAGATATTGGGTATGATTGCTCATCGTCTTATCAAGCTGAAGGATGTAATCCAATTCGGAGCTTCTTGTAAGCCGTGGAGACGAGCGGTGCCAGCCAAGTTTAGGCAGTCCATCCCTTGGTTGATGCTTCCCTATTGCCGCAGTGGCAACTACTGTAGTAGTAGTAGTAATTCTGCTACCATGCTTGGCTGTAAAGGTACACATACCTGTAGGTGTTTTTACGATCTCATGGAGCAACAATTTCATCATATAGAGTTACCCACAAGGTTTGAACAAAACTTGTCGTGGTTCTGCCTTCGGGTGGATGTTCATGATGGATAGAACACCATCATTGTTCTTACTCAACCCTCTTACTAGGTCTACCATCCCTCTGCCCCCAATCACCAGTTTTCCTGATGTGTTGGGATTCTTCCCGGACAAAGTCGGCAAAGAATATTTGTATTTAGATATGGATTGCGGATAGCTAAGGGGAAAAAGGAAGTTGAGCATAACTACATTCATAGGGTTGCCCTTTCAGCCGAGCCCACCTCTGAGGAATGTGTCCTCATGGTCATTCGCTCCCCTACCGATCGCACCCTAGCATTTTGCAGGCCTACTACTGCTACCATCGACAACCGAAAATGGACATTAGTTCCTAATGACAGTGGAAGTGATGGGGATTTACCCAAACTGATTTGCTTTGAGGATGTTGTGTATTGGAGGGGTCAATTTTATGCCCTTGTCAATGGCGGGAGAGTTTTTGTTTGTGATTTTTCTTCCCCGAATTGTCCAAGATTGTCGTTGTTTCTTGACGCGCATCGCTCCTGTCGGATTAAGTCTATCAACTACTATTTACTAATCATTCCAACAGATGAGTTGATGATGGTGACTAGGAATGTAAGCTATTATGGCGACAGTCGAAATCGTGATGATGGTAGCATTCATCACAATTGGGATGATGGTGATGAGGACTTTAGCGATGATACTGAGTGGACAGATGATGATGGTGACGATAGTGATGAGGACAATGACCTTCCTCCAGCGGATGAGTCCGACCGTGAAGTTGACCATTATGGTATGGATAGCGAGTCAGATGACAATGATAATGACGGCCACCCCATTAGAGAGATTCAGTTGTTGACCGATGATTTCAGAGTTTTCAAGATGAGGGGGGGATAGAAAAGGGTGGGATGAGGTCGAAAGTATTGGTGATTTTGCTCTTTTCTTGGGTTACAGCTCTGCTACTTGCATCTCCACCAGAGACCACCCGGAATTGGCTCCCAATTCCATTTATTTCACAGATGATATGACTGAAAAGCATTGTAAGCGGAGGCTTGCGGGTGCCGACATGGGTGTTTACGACCTCGCCACTCGGACTTTTACACCATTCTATTGTACAACCTCAGTTCATAATAACCCTTCATTTATCTGGCCACTGCCTGTATGGGTCTTACCATCCAACTTTTAGACCTCTGGGAGCTGTATGTCTAGACATACCTTTGTATCTTTTGCTTGAATTTACTGTGTTTGGTACAGCATGCATAAATATCCATCCCGCGAACTCACTTGAAGATGTTATTGTGTAGTAAACAGTTGCATCAAAGAGATTTTTTTTTGTTGAAAAATCAGGATTAAAGCAGTTGAGGAAGGCTGTGGCTTTCTGCAATTGTCAAGAGGATTTGCTAATGGAAGGGTTTTGTTCTGAACTTGAGGACTAGTTGAAGTTCGGTTTCAGGTGAATGAGAGAGACTTGGTTTAGCGTTGAATTCTGTGAATGTGTAATGGGGCAAGTGTTAACCATACAGCCTTTCGCTTATAATGAATATGGGTTACACAAGTGGATAAAAATGATGTAATATCTAAGATGATTCTATCAGTGGGTTATCCACTGCTTCATTTCAGGGAAAGCAACTACAAGTGATTTCCCAAAAGAGAGTCAAATTTTGGTTTGCATGATTAGTTCAAACACACTACTTAGTGCTGTCACTACTACTTACCTTACTTTATCCATTGCCTACTCTTCCCTGCTTCAATTAATAGGTTTTCATTTAGAGAACTCAATTACATTTTCTGCCTTAGCCAAATGCTCTTTTGTTCATGTTCTTAAAGTCTGTTTCTTTATGCGGTCTAATGCCATTTATGTCTGTAATAATTGAAGTGATTGTGTGTGCAACAACTAAGAATGATGTAGTTACTATAGTGTTGGGCAGACCTTTTATAGGGTTGATTATCTAGGTTTCGTTTGAGAAGAACAAACTAAATATATGAATGGATTTGATGACTGGAAATATTTTCACATTTTGTGCAGTGCGCTAAATTGGTTAGTGCTTTTAAGTAGATTACCTTGTTGTAATTTCGGAATTCAGTTTGTTTACACAAGTTTAACTGCAGATTGTGCATATGCACTTTGGATAACTACGAGACTGTCCCAATTCCAAAACCCGTTTCTTGCTTTTGTTCCTTTCAGTTTCTCGGTGCTCATGTCACATTTCTCATATATCTTTCCTGCTTTCTATGAGGTTAGTGCTTTCAAGTAGATCACCTCGTTTTATTTTTGGAATTCAGTTGTTAACTCGATTTTTAACTGCAGATTGTGCATTTCACTTTTGATCACTACGAGCCTGAGTTTCTTATTTAAAATGACGGCGAGAGAGGTTAGCAGTCCATTGTTCTAGGATTTGGGATGGCCAATTTAGGTCCTTCATTGGATAGGATTGCAGCAAGTTTGAGGCGTGTTATGGTGCTTTGTGATTGGCAAGATCTGTCTTGGTTCCCAGTGATTCCCGTTATCTGCGTGTTTAACTCATATGACCAGGTCACTCAAAGTGAAGATGCTAAGTCTGACCGAGTGAATCGCAAGAAATGATTATAACTCTGACTGAGAAATTCCCCAGCTATCTGAGCGCATAAGCTTTCCACAACCCGAGTTTAGTATTATATCTATAGGTAGAAGAAGCTGAATAAAATAAATTTAATCCAACTCTAGCAACCACGGTAGTGTGCAGAAGAATTATCAAAGAAAGCAGAACATATTCTTCTTCGTAGATGGTAAACAAAGTTAGAAGATAAATGATTGGCATGTGTACCTTACCAAGTTGACTTCATCATTATGGTATGATATGGTATGGTATGATATGGTATGGTATACTTTGGGTTGACAGAGAGGACCGCTAGACTTGCACAGTAAGTCTCTTCCTTTTGGGTTTAGGTTTAGGGTAAACTGAGCATAGTGAGAGGACCAGAGGGTCTTTAAATATGTCTCTGTCTGTTAATGGAAATCTTAATTTGGTCGGCCTCCATCAGTGGATTTGGCCATTTGGGTCATAAGATAATTATGATTTCTATATTTAGTTATGATGTCACCTTCATGTACTTCATCTGTTGAGTTGATTTTTTTTTTATCGATTGGAGGCAAAAGCCAAGAACAAAGAAAGAGTTACAGAGGGGTTTGTGGGAGATGGACAATGTTCCGAGGTAAAACCACACCTCGTTGATCATCCTGCAATGCTGAAGCTTGAGGCCCAGGGGACGCCATTACTGTCCGTCTTCGTGTTAAGGATATTCATGCGAACCTAGTGATCAAGGTCTGCTGTCAGGAAATCCACCATGTTTTTTTCTGGCACCTCTCTTGTCCAATAGAAGAGGGAGGCCGGCAGTCCCTCAGGATATGAAGCTCGGTCTCTGGCACATTAACACACCTGGGACAAAAAGGATTAGGAGCTATGTGCCTTTCGAACCTCCTTTTGTTGGTGTTGATGCGATGGAGAAGAACCAGCCAGATGAAGTGTCTAACGCGCTCCGGAACTTGAAGGTTCCACACTGCTTTCCAAGTCTGCTGATCCGTAGTCTGGGGCGCAGGAAAGGCAATCCAGTAAGCCGATTTAGCTGTGAAATCCCTGGTAGAGGTGGGCTGCCAGCATAATCTGTCTTCTTCAGTGGAGAGTGGATCAGTAGCTATCGCCGTGATCTTATCCATGACATCCGTTGGCAGCCATTGTTGGAAGAGCTCCACCCGCCATTGGCCATCATCATTCATGTAAGCAGCTACTGGTTTTTGAGCCTCCATCTCCGGGATCGGCGACACTGCAACATCCCTCAGTGGTACCTGCAAAGCCCAAATGTCAGTCCAGAACTTTGTGTTCTTCCCATTTGAAATGTTCCAAGCACATCCTTTCCGGAGAATAGGATTAGCTTTGGTTATGCTTTTCCAGGTAAAGGAACTTCCCTGTTTCCCCTCGAGCATTGAAAGTCCTTCTTTATTCCGCCCGTACTTCCCCCGCACGACTTGAGTCCACAAAGTATCTTTCTCTTGCAGAACCCTCCGTCCGCTTTTTGCCAGGAGCGCTGTATTTTAGTGTCTTAGCGAACGAAGATCAGCTCCTTCATTCTCTTTCGGTTCGAGGCGCTTCTTCCATCCCACGAGGTGAGATTGTTTTTTGTCCTTTGTGTCGCCCCAAATGAAATTCCTGTTGATCTTGTCAATCTCCTTGCATACTGAGGATGAGAGCATCTCTGTTTGCATGGAATAAACAGGAATGGAGGTAGAGACTGAACGTACAACAGTTAAACGAGCAGCAAGAGAGAGTTTCTTAGCTTTCCAGGATGAGAGCTTCTTCTGAACCTTCAGGATTAGCTCTCTGTATCGGTCTTTGGTGACTCGAGAATTAATGGCCATGACACCCAGGTATCTCCCTATATCTGAGGTGAGAGGGATCCCTGCTCGGTTGCTGTAGGCAACAACGGTGTCTCTCGGCACATTAGGCGAGACAAAGATCAGCGATTTCTGAAGGTTCACTCGTTGTCCCGAGCTAGAACAAAACTCCTCCATACACTCCTTAATAATTGCTATCTGACCAAGCCCCGCCTCCGCAAAGAGCATCAGATCATCTGCAAAAAAAAAGATGGGAGAGTTTTGGGCCACCGGGGGAGAGTGTCAAGGGTTTCCAACGTTTTTCCTCGATGGTCTGGTCAATTCTATGAGAAAGACGTTCCATGCACAAAACAAAGAGATAGGGGGAAAGAGGATCTCCCTGTCGAACACCTCTGCTGGGGGTGAGAGCATTTGAGAGCTCTCCATTCCAGGCTATGTGCATCCTATTCTTTTCAACACATAACATGATGCAGTTGATCCAGGTGCTGGGAAGACCGATCTCCATCAATGTGTCTCGGAGAAAGTCCCATCGAAGTCTGTCGTACGCCTTCTCCAGGTCAATCTTTATCACCACTCCACCTCTTCGCCCTTTTCGCTTCCTGAGAGAGTGCAGAATCTCTTGGACCACGATGATATTGTCTATCGTTTGTCGTCCTGGGATGAAGCTGCTTTGTCTTGGAGAAATCCACTTCCGCATAAGAGGCTTGAGGCGGTGAGTCATCGCCTTGGTGATGGTTTTCAGACTCACATTGTTGAGCGAGATTGGTCTAAGCTGCGTTACCATTTCCGGTCTGTCCACTTTGGGAATGAGGACCAGAGTAGACTCCGTGATTGATTCTGCGAGCTGACCTGTATCAAAAAACTCCAAAGCCATGTTAGTCAAAGTCTTACCTGAAACACCCTAACCCGGCCAGGTACTACTTTTACCAAAATGCCCTTGATAAACCGTGAAATAAAATAAGAACTGAAAATACTTAGAAAAAATAGCGGAACCATTTCATAAATAACTTTAATAAATACCGAAAACAACTGTCATTACTTAAACACAAAGCCTGACACTTGGGCAAACTCAAACTTTAAAATCCCAAAATGATCTCCAGTCTATACTCATAATCATAAACTGAAACAACTAAAAAGTTTCTAATGCAACTGCTTCTTGAAAGCCTTGACGAGACATCCTCTGTAGCGCTTGTACTACCCTCCTCTAGCTGGCTGCCCTCCAACTGCTCCTCTCGAACTCGCTGCTCTCTAACTCCTCTTAGTACTCTTCAAACTGGTGAGTGAGATGGGGTCAGTCTACGCCCTTACGTTTAACCTCTTATTAAAACTTGAGCACTTTACTTAACGGTGTGGAAGTTGTTTTGTACTTCCACTATTGAAAAGCTTAACTCTTAAAACTGTATGGGAGTTACTGTTACTCCATTCTTAAATCTCAAAGCTTGACTTAAATACTTGACTGACTCTGGGATCCCTCACTAGCTAGTCCGGTTGCCAACTCATACGTATGAGAAGTCACCCAGGCTTTCCTTAAACTTAAACTTAGTTAGGGAAGTCGTAACGATTCATCCCCCTAACATCTTAAACTTATCGTGGTGGCTCTTCACCACGATTCTCAAGGGCATAACAGCTGCCCATCTTAAAATCTCAAGAGCATAACTGCTGCTCTATCTCATTCTGTCTCAAAAGCAACGGACTGCCGCTAGTGACTAAAAACACTTAAAGAGACTTCACCATCTTGAAGGTGATTTACTTCTTAAAAGGACTTGCTTCTTACTCTTTAATAATAACTTGTACCCGTAAAATTTCAAAGTAATTTATAAACACTCACTTCAAGCATAGCTCAGACAAAAATCACCTCAAATAGCACAAATCATCTCGAACCACAACTCAAGCAAAGCACACATAATCAATCATACACATAACCAAGCAACGATAACCAATTCGCTAAAATACTTAAAATCATAATACTTAAAAGAATTCATAAGGCGTAGAATTTACCCCATTTACACTCACCTTACTTCCATCGGAACTTGCTTGATTATGCACTTTTGCCGACACCACATGCTTGGCTAGGAGCCGGCTCATGCCTGCTTAATCATGGCTTTTTCCTGCCTGCTTAATCACAATCTCCTCCTGAATCGCCAGCCTGCTTGGTTTGAATAATGGTCCTGCTTGCTTAAGCAGGTAGCTGGCGTAGTATAAAGGCCTCTTATAATGGCACGTAATCATCTCGCAGCCTTGCTTGCTTAACAATTGACGAGCTTGCTTAAGCTAGCAGCTCTCGTAGCTGGGAGGGCCTCCCATCAATTTTGCAAGCCGAGGGTTACCAGGTTGTTTCGGTGGGATTGCTAACAATGGATCAGCTTGATTACCATGAGGAGCTGCTACCTTACGTAATCATCTCGCAGTCGGCTATTTAATAATGGTCTTGCTTGCTTAACAATTGACGAGCTTGCTTAAGCCAGCAGCTCTCGTAACTGGGAGGGCCTCCCATCAATTTTGCAAGCCGAGGGTTACCAGGTTGTTTCGGTGGGATTGCTAACAATGGACCAGCTTGATTACCATGAGGAGCTGCTACCTTAATGGACGAGCTTGCTTTATAAAAAAAATGCTTGCTACCTTAATGGACGAGCTTGCTTTATAAAAACAAATGCTTCTTCTCTCGTAGTAGGGAAGGCTGATCCGCTCGGCCCCGAGACGCTGGAAATCATACCGCAGCCACCTGCCTTGAGGAGCCTGCTTAAGCACGGGGAGCAAGATTGCGCCGCTTTGCTGAGAATCACCCTCGCTGCCTGCTTGAGGAGCCTGCTTGAGGAGCCTGCTTACATAGTAGGGACAGCCAGTGTTGCGCCGCTTTTCATTGGGGAGGATTACCCTCGTTGCTTTGCTTTTGTCCGGAGAACTGGCCTCGCCCTACACACGCTCCGCACCACCAACCTGCTCATAACACCGGTTGATTCTTTCCCATGAGCAACTCTTCCGCCGACTAGGTTAAGCAAGCATCGCGCAGCTCTCGGCCTAATACCACCGGTTGATTCTTCCCCAGGACAAGTCTTCCACAGCCGACTAGGTTAGGCAAGCACCTCTCACAGTAGAGGGGATGATGATGCTCTGCGATTTCCCGAGAGACTTTCGGTGGAGAAAAGGTTGCGAGGTTTTTTTTTTGTTTGGGTGCTGCCGAATAGGGTAAGGCTAAGCTCTCACACTTGCTGGTGAGTTTAATCCGAAACTCAATTAATGTCCGTAGCTTTCTCAATTTATGTCGAAATTCGACACCGCTTGAACCGATAGTTCACATTTTTCGTCCTCGATGATACAGCGGAACTTGACCCAGGGGTATAATAGTCATTTTGACTTTTGGGAAAAAGCGGGGTGTAACATTACCCACCGTAGCCCAGTTACTTTGGTAGAACAAAGCTTGAAATCCATCCGGTCCAGGGGCTTGCAAGGGTTTCATATCCATGATCGCCCGGTAGATATACGCCGCATTAAAAGGACGAAGGAGGCAGATCATCTCCTGCTGGGAGGCCCGAGGAAAACGATTCTTGGGGCATGTGGTCGACATATGGGGAGGAGTCCTGCAAAAACAGAAGTTGATAGTAGTCGAAAACGTGTTTAGCGAGGGCTGCCGGTTCCATGATCCACTCTCCTGCAAAATCCTTGAGGGCTTTGATTTTGTTTCTTCTCTTGCAGATGCTAGCTTGTTGATGGAAATCTGTTGAGTTTATATTTTGTTTATAACAAGGTAAAGAAGCAATGATTTAAATCGGCCCCAAATTTTGAGGGATAAGTTTTGAATCTTTTATTATGTTTGTACGATGATTTGCTAAGAATAATGATTCAACCACAATATGCTTTCTCTCACAGATATTACACTGGCGCTCTCACGCTTGATTTTACAACCGTCAATGCATTCTATAATGTATCTATTTATGTAAAATTTTAAGATTAATGCTGTGACAAGGGGGTTTTCATGTCATAATGGTATTTGAATCATGTTTTCCTTTGGTGCTGCAAAGAAGGGATTAAAGTAAAAAATGTCTCCCAGACGTGATCCACCATAATGTTTGATAGAATTATTAGAGTATGCTACACCCATTTAACCACATAAAAAAAAAAAAAAGAGTATGCTACACCCATGAGTAACCACTTTCGAGAAGCAATCCATTTTGTTCAATGTTGTATTTTGCTTCATTTTCCTAAGAGGTAAAGTTTATCGTAGTATAGATTGCGGGGTGTGTGTACGTCTATTTTATAAGTGGTCAAATATACCACATTATTGGGAGCTTACTCCCTCTGGATGGACATACACCAAATTCCGCTCAATTATAAATTCATGAATCTTCGTATGAATTTCAGAATCATCTCCATCTATTCTCTACAGATGATAGTTCAAATCGGTTGAGCCAAGATATTGGGGTCGTTTGTAGAAGGGGATTTAGGACGTTTGAAGATCAAACTATTTGCATAGCGTACACATGATGATAGAGAATATGACTTACCCAAATGGTATTATCGTAAAATATTTGTATATAATTCTCCAAGAATTGCCACATTCTTACAAGGTAATTACTACATTGTTACTTACCATTTTTTTTATCTAACCGTCGTGTGGGTATCGACTTGAAGACAATACATTGTCCAACTAACTATTGATGATCACTCTACATCATATCATGTATCTTTCAAATCCCTCAATTTCATATTCGTTAGTTGTGTAGTGATCAACAAGTTTTCATGGTTCAGATCCCTTAAGTAGTATCTAGCAAAAAAACAAAAGCCTACATCACTCTTATATATAAAAAAAATATATTGGGAACAACATTTCAATGACATAGTATACTATCAAAGAAGAATCATTTTCTTTTATGGTGATTTTTAGTGCAATTACCTTTTTTTCATATGTATCATGAGAATCAACTTCAATTTCCACCCACATGGACTATTTAAGTAGCCACCACTTTATAAATATGAGTAAGAACTTTTCATTATAATATTTGTCATATCTTTATTTATTCCATTTTATCGTACCCATATTATGTATAGTTGGAAGACTTGCGAAGATAATTCATCGCCGACTTTCGAACTAACGAGACATTATGTGCGACCACAATACATATGACATACATAATTACCAACGACTCCCGGCCAACTGGCCGGGTGCAGTGCTAGTGATAGTAAGAAGAATGAATAGATCTGTGAAGTCTGAAGGGGATTGGAATGGAAAGAAATCTAAAAAAATTATGTGCTTTGGAAAACTGAAGTGGCTCGCTGGCTCAATAAAAAAAACCTGGAAAAGAAAAAAGATACCAGAAATGAAACGGCCGTTTTGAAAGACAAAACGTTTGTTGCGGCCGTTTCTTCTTTCTTCCTCTCTTGGCTACGAACTCGGGCAAAGGATCTTCTTTAATTCCTCTTCGTCTGTGTTGTCCGAAGTTTTCAAGTAAATATTGCGACTTTCTTCCTTTTCTCTATCCTTCCATCCAAACCCAGCAAGCAAAAAGATGGATTTCCGGAGGAGGCGGGTTCAACTTCTTTCCTTCATCGTTGGGGTCATCAGTCTCAGTATTGCTGGTAATTTTCTACTAGTGTTTAGATTTCTCTTTGTTTCCACTTTTCTTCCTAGAAGGTTGATGGCTTTAGATAGTTTAAGGATGTGGGCTAAGGGGTTGGGTTCAAAAATCAATAGAGGAGGGCGGTGGCTTTTATAATTGTGCAGTTGTCAAGAGGACTTGCTAATGGAGGCTTTTGATCTGAACTTGAGGTCTAATTGTTGTTTGGTTTATGGTGAATGAGAGAAACTTGGTTTAATGTTGAACTTCTATGCTGAAATATATCTGTTCTTCCTGTTAATTGTGTGAGTGTGTAATTGGGTTATATGACTACTATGCTCAGCCTAAGTAGCTAATTATATGACTACTATCCTCAATGAACATATTGATTTCGCAAGGGAAATATATCAGGACCTCTCCCAGTGACTTGTTTTATTGAGACAAATTGGTTTTGGGTAATGGCACCAAATTCATTTGATGGCCGAAATCTCTTGTGCTCTAATCTTGGTTCCCTCCGATCAATAGTTGGCTGCCCACTCATATGATCAGAGTTAACCTTATGGTTAAAGTTTAAACCCTCGTATTTGAATTCCTCTGGCTTGATTGTATTTGAAGTGTTTTGTCCTGTGTTTCTTATGGTTTAAAGATTCCCTCTTGTGCTAGTTTTGTGCACACGAGTTGCTTGTTGCGTTTGATGTTTGAGGCCTCCACACAAAGTTTGGATCTTTGAACTGGTTTTTGCTGTTCCTTGCATGAATTCAGCCTAATAGTATCCTATTGCATAGTGCACATTACTTCATATACCACCATCTCATTGCCTTGATGCTCCCACCATGTTGCATCATCTCCTGTCTTCGTATGCAGTAAACTGATGCTCATTCTCCATGTCGTTTTCTAGCCGAAAAATGCAGGCTACTCGTAGGAGAAGACTCATCATCTCAAAGCGGAAAGTTTACAATCTTCGACTGCTTCGACATGAGCACAGGGACCCTAGCATGCATGGTCAAGGAAGGTGTGAAGCTCTACGTCTACAACATGAGATCTTCACACGTAGAAAAGGCAAGGAATTTGGCAATCGAGCAGGCAATACACGATGCAATGCAGCAAGGGATATCAGCGAAAGATGTTGCTAAGCAAGCGCAAAAGGAAGGTGCAAAGGCAGCTAAGTTGGCTACTAGAAAAGCCAAAAGGATCGTAGGGCCTATCATCTCTTCGGGTTGGGACTTCTTTGAGGCGGTCTACTATGGCGGGACCATAACTGAAGGGTTCCTGAGGGGTACTGGGACCTTGTTTGGAGCGTATGCTGGCGGGTTTTATGGGGAGCAAGGGATTGGAAGAGTTGGGTATCTGGTTGGGAGTGAGTTGGGCAGTTGGATTGGAGGGAGAATTGGGTTGATGGTGTATGATGTGGTGAATGGATTGCATTACTTGGTCACTGCTGTTGAACCATAGATGGCCTGGCTAGACTGAGAATCGCGAAAAGGATGATGTTGATGAGTCATACTCGTATGAAGATCCACCTGCGTACGAAAGTAATGAGGATGTGAGTGATGAAGGCTCCAGTGGATATGAATCTCTCATCTCCGAAAATTCTGAATCGGAATCGTATGGCTCACCCTCATGTTTCTGGTGATAATACAAAGTATAATGGTAGATCATGGCTTGTGAAACCTGTTGTTCAGAGACTGGCCTGTACGAGAAATGTTTTTGTAAATAGATGTAAGGTTTGGATATACTTTTGTTAGTGGAAGTGTTTGTTTACTTGATTTGAGTATTAGATAGGCAGAGGCTGTTCCAGTTAGAAGCTTGTCTCAAGGTTCTTGTGGCGCAGCAATGTATGGACTAGATTCTATACCAGAAAACTTCACTGTTGTGGATCAATGGTCTCATACGTTCATTTTAAGGACATCTGGACATGTATATGTTTGAATTCAGTAAAAAAAATTATCCATGGCATTCCGAGGGTCTAAAAAATTTAATGAATTGTACTGTATATAATATCCAGAACAGAGGTTGTAAATGAATTACAGCTAGCTAGCAGAGGGTCTATGTAGGCGTAAATGAATGAATAAATGGAATCGTAAATACATCTTTAACTACTAACTCCAAAACATTAACAAAGTTTCTACATGTATCCATCGTATGTTGTTCTATGGGTGGATTTGGCAGAGCACCCTTTCTTCAATTCAATTAGATGTTAATGTAAATGAACCATAACTATGAAGTCCTATTCCTAATAAATTAATCCCAAAATAACATATCCAAATTAGAAAAAAGCCAATAGAAGCGATAATTGCGGAATTTAAACCTTCCCCATTTTTATTTACTCGGATATGGAAATAAATCGCGAATATGGTCCAAGTAATAAAGGCCCAAACTCCAAAACATTAACAAAGTTTCTACATGTATCCATCGATGGACTGGCTCTCGAAGCACAGTCTCGTCTATCCCTATGGTATGTATGAATTGGAATCTCCACTGCTAGAGTTACTTCCCCTTCTGCAGGATGATCAGAGAGGTACTACGTTTCCTAGAAGGGTGGTGAATACCTCCCCTGCGTCTTATGCTTAATCCACCCCCGCCCCCGTTTTTCTTCTTTCTCTGGCTTCTTAGCCTCCTGTAATGCAAAAAAAAAAAAAAATGTATCCATCGATGGATCTAGACGGGACTGTCATCCCTGGTTGCAGAGGCAGTCCTTGCTTCCTCCTTGACATTACTGGTCGGCTCCTCTGCTTCATTCTCCCCGGACAGCTCCTCCAGCGACTTCCCGTTGGACTCCGGCACCAACAACGTGAACAGAATCCCCAGTAAATTGATACCCTCCATCACAAACAGCGACTCCTGCATCCCAATCCCCGGGCTGTACCCCTTGTCCACCTTCGCCGGATCTTTCGACTGCGACTCGTACAAGAACCCGAACGCGCCCACGTTCGCCCCGGCCTTCCCCGCCGCCGCCGATATCCCGTGACACGTCGATCGCAGCCTCGCCGGGAATATCTCCGCCGGAACCACAAACGTCGTCGCATTGCTTCGCAAAAAAGAAAGTCAGCCCGTAGAACACCAGAAAAGCCAGTATTTGTACCAAGTCGCCAGCACAGACATCGACACGGTCATGCCGAAGAATCCCAGCAATTGAATCTTTTTCCTTCCCATCTTGTCGATCAGTGCCACCGTGACCCTGTACCCCGGTACCGTCCCGCACAGCGCGATGATCGTCTGTGCACGCGCCACCTTGAAAACCTCGTGGATCGTGTTCATTGTTGCCGCCGGCGGTATCCAGTGGATGGCGGTGAAGATGTCCTTCTGGAACAAATTCTGGATGTAGTAGGCAATGTCGAGGAGGAACCACGTGGACGTCGTCGCCAATAAGTGTTGCCCATGGCGCTTGAGGAATTCGCTGGGTAAACAACCCAAATTTGTCGCCGGAAACCTCGGTGATGACTCTGACTTTCTCGACCTTGATCTCCTCCAACTGCTTGACGTCGGCCAACACTTCGGCCTTGTCCTCCCTCGCCTGCTTCTCGTTGTTGGCCACCAGCGCCGTGTAGCGGGCGGTTTTGGGCATCTTCATCCGCCAGTAGTAGGTCAGCGCGGCCGGGATGGCTTCGACCATGAGGATTATCCGCCAGACGTAGTCGGCCTGAGGGGGAAGCGACGCAGCTCTGTTGGCGGAGTACGGTGGCGCGTTGAGTGCGTGATCGAACGCGTTGGAGACGATCAGGGCGACGATTCCCCCGCACAGGATGCCAAATCCTTGCATCGCGAATACCGCGACGATGAAGGTGTCGCGCGTCTTCTTGTTGGCGTACTTGGACATGATTGTGACGGAGAGAGGGTAGTCGCCGCCGATGCCGAACCCTAGCTAGAAGCGGAAGAAGCAGAGCATGGTGATGATCCCCGCGGGGTTGCGGCCGAAGGAGAGGCCCGAGGCGAAGGAGGAGAAGACCATGATGGCGAGGGTCATGTCGTAGACCTTCTTGCGGCTGAGCTTGTCGCTGAGCCAGCCGAAGAAGAGCTGGCCGACGAGGGTGCCGCAGAGGGCGACTCCGTTGACGGCAGCGACGACGTTGGGCGGGAGGGAGCCCGGTTTGGGGGAGTTTGGGTTGGTGTAGTTGTTGATGTGACTTGAATCGGACTATCAGCCGCTACGACTGGTAGTCGGGGGTCTCGCTGATGTCATAAATACTTCTCATACTCCTGGTCTGTATTTGGGTTCGGGTTCTGGGCCTGGTCTGTAACCGTTTCCTTTGCCATATTGGATTAGGTTTAGACCCACATGGAGAAGTACTATAAATACTTGGGCTAATACCACTGGGAAACCCGAACTATTAACTTTTTTCCATTTGTGTCCTAAAGTATTCGATATAACAATTGTGTCCCAACGTTTGGTAGTTTTGTGTCATTTACGTCCTGGCAATTTCGTTGACCGTTATAGATAACGGTTGACCAAACGGTCAACCATAAAATGTTGACTGTTGGTTACATGGCACATATGTGGCAGCCACATCTGCGCCACGTCAGCTGCCACATCAGATTATTATTTTTAAATTAAAATTAAATAAAAATTAAAGCTAATCCCTTTCTTTCTCATCTCAGATTCACCATAGCCGCTCAAATTTTGAACAAGCTTGCTCCTCCCTCCGCCAATTCCAAATCGACTGCGCTGGTGGGAGACCCTTCTTCATCCTCTGTGAAAACAACAACACAATCAACAGGGCCTTCCCGGACTCGGAGACCCGCCAGACGGCATTGGTGTTGAAGAGACAGGAGGAAGATGGAGTAGCGGCTCCCATCAGGCGATGAAGGCTGCCTATGTATTGAAGACCCGCCGAACACTCTTGATTGCCTTCCTCCCCTACCTCCCTCACTCTCGCCTGCCTAATTGTAGATCTGGATTCGAGTTTCGATTCCGAGCAGCCTATGTATTGAAGAACACTCTACCCCGATTTCTGAGCAGCCTAATTGTAGATCTGGGAAATCTCCTTATGATGTTTCGATTTGATTTCAGGTATCAAGCAGCCGATGTACCAGACCTCTGTTCCCGCCGAGAAGCCGTCGCAGAGATGGAGGTAGAGGGAGCCCTCGTCGAGCTCGAACCGCCACGACACGATGACAGCCTGTTCGGGTTGGGTTTTGCTCAGATGGGGAGGTGGTTCGCCACTCCGACACGGCGCTCCGGCGGGGTGGCGCGTTCGCCGGGGAAGGCACGCATCTAAGTTGTTGTGGATGCCGTGGGGCGAGGATCGAAGGGAGCTTGATGGCCGCGGGAGTCGGTCGGCGATTGATGACGCGAAAATCGTCAATAGATGCAAGAAGAAGAAGAAGAAAGGAAAAGGGGGAAGGAAGTAGAAGAAGGAAGAAGTCTCGTCGACGGATGCAAGAAGAAGAAGAAAGGAAAAGGGGGAAGGAAGCAGAAGAAGGAAAGAAGTCTCGATGGATAGGGGAAAAGTGGTTGGAGGCATTTTTTTCATTTTTGTTTTCATTCTAATTATTTTTTAAGTAATAAGGATAAATAAATAATAATAAAATTCCACGTTAGATGCCACATCAGCGCTTACTGGATTTTCTGTTAAAAACTAACGGTCAACGTCGGTCAACTCTAACGGAGAAATAGTTTATTGTCATATCGAATACTTTAGAACACAAATGGCACAAAGTTAATAGTTCGGGTTTTTTAGTGGTATTAACCCTAAATACTTCTCATACTCCTCTGTAATTTCTAATCTCCTCGATATAGTGAAACTAGCTCTCTCTCGCCCGTGGATGTAGCTAACACGCATCGTGTTAGTGAACCACGTAAATCGTGTGTCTGTGTTTTTTGATTCTCGCTTTCGTATTCTTGCTTTATCGATTCCGGCGATTTCCTGATCCGTAGCAGCGCGTTTATAACAAGTGGTATCAGAGCCGCGGCTGGAAATCAGGCTAGGGTTTTCGATTCAGAAGAATGACGTCGGTGAACATGAAGATCGAAAAGTTCACGGGGAAGAACAGTTTCGCTATATGGCAGATCAAGATGCATGCTTTATTAAAACAAAAATGGGTGTGGGGGCCGCTGTCTGCGAAACAGAAGAAGGCAGCGGTCGATGACGATGAGTGGAATACCCTGGAGGAGAAGGCCCACTCGACCATCATGCTATCGTTGTCTGATGATGACTCGCTATGACACAACACCTAACAATGGCCAAGTGTAACCAATGGAAGGGACTGCAGTATAGTGGCTCAAGTGATAAATATCGAATCCACGGGTCTCTAGAGTTACTATTACTCAGCTTCAGTTTATTATTTAGCAAACCAGATCAAGATGAAAGAACTAAAACTACTCTAGCAAACTAAAGTTAAAGTTAATCTAATTACAGGTTGGGAACTCACTTAGGTATGATTCTCCCTAGCCACTAGCCAGACTAACGATTGATGATTTCTAACTTGTTTCACTTTCATTCACAATGCGGAGAATCCTTGACTAGACCTTGAGTCTCGACTAAAGGAACAAGGCCCTCTTGAGTCAATTGCCTAGAGGGACGTATCCTTCTCTAGAACAACTGATCAAGGCGTTCTGAACTAGACTCCCTCTATCGAAAGAGGTTCTCAATTGATACAAAGCAGTGAATCAACCCTCGACTAAAGCAATCGATCCACTACTATCAATCTATGGTGCTCTATTGACCTAATCAGGTATTCCCTCTCATAGGATCAAAGCAGAATCAATAATCTCGACTAAAGCAGAATTGAATCATGAAAACATGCATAGATTGAATATGAACTCAAGATTATCAAGTCAGAGTACTCATACAATCATCCAATCAAACAAACATAGCTAGGGTTCCTCAAAACCTAAGTGAAGGGAAGTTACTCCATAGAGAAGAGAGAGACTGCAGTAAGAATCTTCAGATGATCAGTCTTCAAGTCCGGGCTTGTTCCTCGAGCTTCCAAGGCAAAGAAATCCTCCAATTCCACTCCAAGAATGCCCTCAAATTGCCCTCTCTCTCTTTGGTTCGTCCCTAGGGTGTTTGGGATCCAAAACCCAGCTCTCCCTTTGCAAAAACGCACAAAACAGGCTTTTAACAGCCTGCGTTCGCGATCCCCGGTCAAAATACCCGGTATTTTAGGTCACGACAGGGGATTTTTTTGGTTCACGACCGGGGATGGATTTTGGTTCACGACCGGGGATTTTTGGTTCACGATAGGGGATTTTTGAAAACGCAACGTTTGGAGACAGGGGAAAATCCCCTATCAAGGCCAAAAATCCCCTACCGCGGATTTTAGTGTCACGATAGGGCCCCCTTCTGTTTCTCAGAGAAGCCCGAAACCAATTTTCCCCTATCTTTGATTCTTCGTTTCTCCCTCGTTCGAACTCCAAATCAGGTGCCGTTTGATCCCAGATGCTCGTATTCTCGTCCTCTTTCTTCTCATGACAAGATTACATGATTATATGGTCACAAACTGAGGTAGAAATCCCTTCTTCTTCAAGTCATACCCGAGTTTCTTCCCCCGAGTTGCCAATTGATCTCCGATTGACTTGAAACTTGCGCCTACGCTTCACTTTATGTGCTAGGACCTGAAATGTGACAAAGGAACACAACCTAGTGTAAAATAGGCCAAAGAAGCAATAATGCAAGCTTAAACGATCAAGAAACAAAGGGGGAAACATGTGCAAATATCGAGTCATCAGATGACGTCATCATTGAAGTCGCTGCTGAGAAGACTATCGCGGGCTTGTGGTTAAAGTTGGAGAGTCTGTATATGACGAAGTCCTAACCAACAAGCTGCATCTCAAGCAACGGTTGTTCAGTTTGAGGATGCAAGAAGAAAGCGTGCGTTGGAAGATGTCAGGTCTGCTCTTTATACGAGAGAGATCAGACATAAGGCGTCCGGATCTGGTACAGGTGGTGAGGCATCAGGTTTGGCTGTTACAGGTGGAAATGGAAAGAAGAAATCTAGTAAAGGGAATTCGAACAAGAATTCCAAGGGTCCCGGTCCACAGCCAGGTGATGCTTGCCACAACTGTAAGGAAGTGGGGCATTGGAAGTACAACTGTCCCAAGAGAAGAGGGCAACAGAAGAAACAAGGGGGAAACATGCTCTACAAAATGATATCCATTTTCTATATTTTTTAGAAAAAAAAATTCTTGCCTCTCGGTAACAACTGCATATCATATGGTATCTTCTTCGTTTTTAATTCATTTTTGAAAACGATTGCACAGAAGGAATGAGTTCATCATGATCTATTGGATCTACAAATTTCTGGGTGGGAAAATTACAGGACCAAACAATACCACACAATACTACTCTGGTACGGGGTGATATCTAGTGGTACACAATGCTAAAAGTCGTAAATGACAATTAATATACTTCTACTATCATAAGGGATGTCACCACTAACTCTCAATCTCTAACGTCTCTTCACCATGATGGCAGCCTCTAAATTTTAGAGTTCACATAAGGGATGTCACCACTAACTAATCTAGAGGTTTTAGACATAGGTTCAGATGACTGGATAGGGTCTTGGACATGGGGAAAAGGCCTTTTAGGTGGTGGAAGCATTCGTAGCACAAGGTTCCACATTTCCAAACCCAACAAACTCAGTCAATCAAACCAATAACTTTCTTTCTGCTATTCTGCATTACTCAAATTTTTCAGAGCACAAGAGCGAAGGAGGTAACATAAATGTTAGTATTTCTAAACCAAGCTGCTAAGAAACACTACTTAATGTGCACTATTTAGATTTTTGGTGGTGGCTCTCTTTTGCTTTCATTTTTTTATTTTGTTTTTCTTTGATTTTTTTCTTCATTTCTTAAGAGAACCACCACCTCTGCACATTTTTCAAAAAACACCTGCCCAACTTTTTAAGAACTACCTCCAACTCTCACATTATATTTAGCAGAAACAGCAGAGAACATGTAAAAAAAACTCTGTGGAACCTTCTAAGAGATGCAAAAGGGTGATTTTTTATTGCAGACTGAAAGAAAGGATAACACACGGCTCAAAGGGGCTGACTAGGGGGTATGACACACCAGGACAGTCAATTTGGTCGTGGGCTAATCCTATGCCTCCATCATCTTAGCTAATGACAACGTGAATGCTACACATCATGGAAGAGGGAACTATCGCACAAGAAAGAAACGAGCAGGCTCAAATCTCACATGGCTACCTATATGCTCTATCTCTCATTCTGATCCCCCTGAACTAGATGCATAAACGACTGTCAAGAAAAAGTGATCCATCCAAGTCACAGTTGGTAAGTAAACAGTTGAAAAACTGAACCCCTACACAACTCTACTGCACATCTCAGTCATCATTATAGGTTGTCCTAGTCACCATCCAGTTGTCATGCATTAATCCAAAAACCATTCAATTCACCAATCAAAACACAGTGCCAATATGATCAAACTGGCGTACTTGGAGCCCTCAAATCTCGAGATTTGGACAGCGGACTAGGCTCCAAGCACACGTATATAGATTCCAACCGATACAAAGCACCCCCCCCCCACACACACTTAAGCACGACATTACCCTCAATGGAGCATAGGGAGAGATAAGGGGAACGATGTTACCATATTGAAATACTGCGGGAGACTGGAAGTGGACCAGTCAGCGGGGAACATATGGAACGAACGGGCAGTTCTGCATGAAGGGAATAACAAGAACACACTAGCACACTGTGCGTTATGGATCAGAGTTGGCCCAGATGGCCACAAAAAAGACAAACCAAAAAAGAAAACCAAAATTACGAAAACAAACGACAGACTCAGTTCAAGCTCCTCAAACACATGGAGCAAACATAAAAAGTCTAAACAAAAACACACGCTGAGGGGCGACGAGTACAGCCTACTCGTCGCCAAGGTTGTCGAGGTCGATGTCGTTCATGATGGCGTCATCGTCGGCGACCAGGGGTGGTAGGGGAGAGTCCTCCCAAGGAGTCCTCCAGACTGGCTGCTCGCCCGGTATCATCTGGAGCTGGTGCTGCTGGACCTCCTGCATACGCCGAGAGCGGGCTTCTCCCGCTCGATGTGAGCCAGAGTCACCCCCTGCTGGGTCTCCATGCGGTCCAGGTGCTCATTATATGCCGCCATCCGGGTATGATACTCGGCCTGGTGAGCCGAGTACTGCTGCTGGAACTGGAGCTGATGGTCGATGATCTGCTGATTCTGGATGCTCAGCTGCTAGAACTGGTGGGCGAAGTAGTCCTGCGATGAAAAGGTGGAACTGCTATCCCCATACTCGAAGGTGGTCGAGCAGGCGACAGCAGTATCATCCACATCCTCGGGGTGGACATCCTCATCAGCCTCGTCCTCAGGAACCTCCGGCTGGTCCTCTGCTGGGATTTGAGGTTGAGGAAACCCCTCAATCCACTTGACTACTCGCTCTTCTTGAAGCAGGTGCATGCGATGGATCGTATATTCGCCAAAGACACTAGTGTCCCCCTACTCTGTGCACCCCTGCAGTGATATCTGGAAGTAGGTGGCCAGGCGGGTGATGAGGGGAGTGCAGTGGAGGCTCTTCAGCTCTAAAGCACTCTTGTCGAAGGTTCTTGCCACCACAGAACCCAAGTGGAGAAGATGATCCCCCTGGCGAATGGACTGGATGAAGTACATGGCTCTCCTGGTGATGGCGCTGGCACTGTCCGCAGCTGGAGTGTAGGACTTTGCCAGCAAGTGGTGGAGAATGCGGTTGTCGAGCTGCTAGGTGCTGGCCTTCGTCCGCCCCGCCACGAAGGGACGCTGGCCTGGCTGAGCGAGGCAAGTGTATAGTGTCTTGAAGTTCACCCCCACCGGATCGCTAAGCTCGGTGACGTAGTCCCTATCATCGGCCAGGCCGAGGCCGAGGGCGGTCGCCAAGTCGTGGTAGCTCATGGAGCGGGGGGAACCACCGAGCCTGAACTTGACGGCTTCACCGTCTGCCCAATCCTCCGTCTCTTCGTGCTTGAAGGTCGTATAGAACTCAAGCACGAGCTCGTGGTAAACCTTCTCGCGAATGCATAGTAGACGGCGCCAGGGGCGGTTGGTGACAATGGCGGAGAAGTGCTCGTAGCAGTGCAGCTTCTCAAACTCCCGCCTAGACCAGAAATGATGTTGCCCAAACGAGTAGGCCAGGACGCGCTGAAAACGATCCTGGTGGGGGCCCCTCTTCAAATCCCGAATAAACGGGTGCTTGAGGTCGGGTTTCGTCATGGTCCTGCAAAAGAACAACCCAAAGTGGAACCAAAAGAGCCAAGGAAAAGGTTAATCACACCCCCACACATGAGAACAAAAATCAGCCGAACCATGGTTTCATCCATAGTTCGGCGGTCAAAAACTCGACCAAACAAGCATAATCTGGGTAGGGGTGTATATCCACGATAAAGTAGGCAACTTAAGGTTCACATTCATAGCAAATACATCCTCAAAGCACATCATTAAGGGCCCCAACCGGCGCCCACAACATGGCATGAAAAACAGGCATTTCATCAAACACCTTGTGTGCACTATTGAGTTAAGCATAGAAGTGAAAAATTTCTTGCACACAAGGGCTCAAACAAGCATGGGGGACATTTCCAAACACAATTCACACAAAAACCAAGCCATCCCCTCAATCAATTGCACACAATACACATGATTCAAAGTTGTTCTCTAAACATACACCCTAACACCCAATTCTCCATAAATCACAAGGTTAAGGTCAAAATCAAACCCGGAGACACAAGTAGAGGTGTAGGGGATGATGAGGGGAAGGAAATGGAAGCGACGAAGAGGCCAAAATCTGCCCGGAAGTGCTCGTCGGAGCCTCGCCGGAAATCGCCTCCGGCGACTCAAAATCGGTCCAAATCGCCTCAAAGTCGAGGGATAGGCCGAAAATGGGGAGAAAAGGATGGGTGTGGAGGTGGTTTGGTGAAAAACCGACCAAAAATGGCCGAAAATCGCCAAAGAGGGCGAAAGGTTGCGGTTTTCTGGCGAGGGGGAGAGGATTCCGGCTAGGGGAGGTTGGTTTTTTCTGGCCACGCGGTCGTGTCGGCCGATTTTTAAAGGCTGGGATCGGCCACACGGGCAAACTCACACGGCCGTGTGAGGTGCACAAGTGCCCCTGTGGGCCGACACGGTCAGGCCGAGGATTTCCACACGGCCGTGTGAAAAGCAAAACTAGCCGTGTGGAAATTGTCGAGGCTTCACACGGGCAGGGGCCAATCTACACGGCCGTGTGAGGGACCCCTCCTGCACGTGTGGATTTTCCAGGGCCTCCACAAGGCCATAACCCATTTTCACACGGCCGTGTGACTTTCAGGGCTGGCCGTGTGGGCTGCCAGAACTCCGAATTTGACCTGTTTTCACTCAAAATCGACATAAGACTCTTGGACAACACCTCAAGACTCAAAAACACAAAAAATCAAAAGGAAAAAGGGTAAGAAAATGCAAACCTAGGTGGGGTTGCCTCCCCACAAGCGCTTCTTTATCGTCTTTTAGTTGGACGCCAGTAGGTGGATGCTAGAGAAGTGTAGGAGCAGGTGCCTTCCAGAGCGGATCCACATCGCTCTTGAGGTACAGCTTCAGGCGGTGGCCATGCACACGGCGGGTGTGCCCACCAGCACTCGCCAACTCGACTTGGCCATCCGGCAAGATGCAAGCGAGTGAATACTCGGATGGCCAAGGTGGTCGAGGTTCAGGGGGCGGGACCAGCACATAGTGGTCTCCGGCTTTCTTTTGAGCAGGCTTAGCTGCCTGCAGTTTCGGCCGCCACTCCTCCTTGATATGTTCTTTTGGTGACGGAGTGGACGGGAGTGGCGGCGAAGGTATGGGAGGGGGATCCTGCAAAATGGGAAGCACAGAAGGATACACGACAGACTCGTGCTCCTGGTGAGAAACAACATGCAAAGGTGACGAAGCAGGGAGAGTATTAGCAATTGAAAACGTTATTCGCTCCTCGCCATCCCTCAAAACTAAGGTCCCATCATGCACATCTATGAGAGCCTTGGCGGTGGCCAGGAAAGGCCTTCCCAGTATAAGGGGCACTTCTGTATCCTCATTGATGTCCAAGACAAAAAAATCCACAGGGTAAAGGAATTTGTCAACCTTAACCAGAAGGTCTTCCACTATGCCCCTAGGATGAACTATAGATCGGTCAGCTAATTGAAGACTCATCCTAGTTGCACGGGGTTCACCTAAGCCTAGTTTCTTGAACAATTGATACGGCATGACATTTATGCTAGCGCCTTAATCCGCCAAGGACTTCCCTATATGCAAACTACCAATCATGCAAGGAATAGTGAAACTCCCTGGGTCTTTTCGCTTCTCTGGTAGTTTGTTCTGCAGGATGGAAGAACACTTCTCGTTGAGCATCACCGTTGACAGCTCCCCAAGCTTCCTCTTGTTGGTGAGGAGATCTTTCATGAACTTGGCATACTTGGGCATCTTCGATAATGCCTCCACGAAGGGCATGCTTATATTCACCTGCTTCAGCATTGCCATGAACTTGGCAAACTCAGTCTCCAATCGGTCCTTGTGCAACCGAGTAGGAAAGGGAAGCTGGGATACATACTCCTTCACCACTGGTTGCGGTTTAGGAGCAGGCACCTCAACCTCCTTCTCCATTTCCTCTTCATTAGCTGGAAGTGCTGAAGCAGGGGTCTCTCTCTCTTCTGCCCGAACAGGTGGATCGGCAGTCACCTTGCCACTCCTGGTGGTAATAGCCTTGCAGTGCTCATTCGAGTTCTGCAGACGAGGGATGGCCTGACCGGGTAGAGTACTAGGAGGCCTCTGAGCTACAGCCTGGGCAACACTCCCAAGCTGGGTCTAGATATCCCAAAGCACAGCCTGCGTGTTTCTCTGACCAGCTTCTAGCTCCATGAATTTGCCTGAAGCTTTCTCCATGAACTGCTCGATGTTATTGAACATGTTTGCACTGGAGGTGGCGAGAGAACCCACTAGATCTCGCAGTTCCGCCAACGGGTCACTCTGTGCTGGGACTGCAGGTGCTGCCCCTGTCTGATGAAATGGACGCGCCTGTGACTGAGGTGGAACTGGCCCCTATCTGGGCGGGTAGAGAGGCTGCTGCGACTGCTATAATTGCCCTTGTCTGGGTTGGTATGGAGGCCTCTGGAAGCCAGGTGGTCCCTGGGGGACTGGTGGTCTAGAATTTGCCCCACCCCAGGAGAAGTTGGGATGCTAGCGCCACCCCTCGTTGTAAGTGTTGCTATAGGGGTCGAAGCGCCTGGCATTGCCGATGAAGTCCAGCTGCTCCTGGGGAGTAGAAGACTCCCTCATTGCCTGGCAATCCTCCACGGTGTGATGAGAACTCTCACACCACTGGCAGAGCATCGCCTGCTGTTGTCCGGTACCTACAATCATCTCGGAACGATTGATGGCTGAAACAAGCTTCGATACCACCTGCACCAAATCAGATGACTGGGTGGAGACGGCAATGCACACCCCGTCCTAGTGCTCGTCTCGATCTCCTCGCAGTTCCCCAGTCATAGCCCTGCTCTGCCATCTCCACAAAAAGTTTATTCACCTTGTTTTGGTGAGCATATTCCCGTCACATACCGAATCAATCAGCTGCTTGTCCTCCGGGAAGAGGGCATGGTAGAAGGTTCCCACCTTGAAGGCATCAGTAAAACCATGGTTGGGACACTTGAGAAAGAGACTGGTGTATCTCTCCCAGGCATCTCAGATGGTCTCGTCTTCATCCTGAGCAAAACGGGTAATTTGCTTCTATAGGTCTGCCGTCTTGGACAGGGGATGGTAGCGAGTGAGGAACTTGTCCGCCAGGTTGGCGAACGTGGTGATAGATCCTGGAGGTCGAGTGTCTAGCCACTCCTTGGCCTGCCCTTCCAGAGTAAATGGGAAGTACCTCAGCTGGATGGCATCGGCTGGGACCCCATTTATCTTGATTCCATCGATGAGCTCGTGGAATCGCCTCAGATGTGATCGGGGACACTCCCCCTCTTTGCCACGGAACACCACCGAACCGCACAGCATGGTTATGACAGAGGTGCTCACCTCAAAATTATTTACTGGCATATGAGGGTGTTGAATGGGCGACCTCATATTCGCGGCCCTAGCGGTCCAGTAGTATCCCATGGTCTGCTCCTCGGGAAGGACCACATCATGGTCCTGTGGATCACCCATCTCTTCTTCGTCGGCGATTTGCAGCTGTGCTAGCGCCTCCTCCACAGTCAGTCGTGCCTTTAGAGCCCGCTTGAAGTTCCTGCAGGTTCGTTCAAGCTCCTGGTCTAATGGTAGTAGATCTCCCGACTGGCTACGGGTCATGCACTACCTGCACACAATCAGCAGAAGCAACCCGTGAAGGCACACAGGTGGAAGAGAGAAAATGCAGTAAAGAAAAAGCTAGAGTAACAAACTTTCACGTTTCCCCAATAACCTAGAGGGTACCCCGGCAACGGCGCCAAAAACTTGACACGCTACGACACAACACCAAACTGCGACCAAGTGTAATCGCATTCCGGAAATGTAGAATAGTGGCAAGTTCTAATTATCAACCCGGGGTCTAGATCTACTGCCTACTCCGTGATTATCTATTTTCTAGCCAACTAAGTCGATTGATTGTTGTTTTAACTAAAAGCAGAAAGAAAGCAGGAAATGATTTGGTTTTCTAAAGCAAAGGAAGAGTCACCCGGGAATGAGTCCCCCTAGTTAGAGATGGCAACAAAACCCGAACCCACGGGTACCCACCCGACCCAACCCGGTCAACGCGGGTAAAACCCATGTTGACGGGTTTTGGGCCGGGTTTGGGTTTAAACACGCTACACTATTCACCGGGTTGGGTTTGGGTTTAGGTAAACCCGCCCCATGGGTACCCGCCTACACACATATAACTACTTTCCCAGTATATTTAATATTCTAAATAATATATCTTCCTTAAACAACTAATATTCTTTATGTTTGTGGAAACATGTATAATTTGTTCTTTCTAATTGTTTAGAATAAAGTTGATACTGTGAAGTGGAGAGTGAAGAAACTTAGTTGATGAGGAAGAAGCTTTTAATTAATCTTATTGTTTATAGATGTTTATCTTTAATTTTGAACAATTTGTATTGATCATTTGCGGTTTGCTCGTATGCTCTAGATTAGTGTTTTTTGTATGAATAATTTGTATGAGAAAATTGATGCTAAACTTTTATTTTGAAAGAAACTTGTTATTGTAAATTTTTTACCACAAAAACCCACGGGTACCCATGAACCCGCGGATACCCAGCGGGTTGGGTTTGAGTTTTTCAAATCCAGCTGGTTTTACCCCGGGTTTTTTTGGCAGATAAACCCATGGGTTTGGGTTTGGGTTTGACAAAACCCGCTCCAACCCGACCCATTGCCATCCCTACCGCTAGTTCCTTAGTTAGGTCTCAGTTGTAATTACCCTGTGTTGATTTACTGTTGATTAAACTGCGGAAGATCCGACAATAGTTTGGAATCTCTTAAGCTGACCAAGCCCTCTCAGTCTAACTACCCGGCAGACGACTAGTCTTCACCGAGATAGAAAGCTGAAGCAATAAGCACAGAACTCCACTACTGGAATTGGATTCCAGTACAAAGCAGTAGACTAACTAACTCTCGTATAGCCAATCTACTACTACCGAATGATGAAGCTCTAACAACCTAATCAGATTCTATCTATCTCAGGTTGCAGCAGAAATCAAGAAAAGCTGATCAGACTTCAATCAATTCAATGAATCATGCATCATTCGATTAAAACCAAACAGTATTGCAATCCTAAGTCATTACAATCATGATCCTAACACATGGAACTAGGGTTCTTCATACCCAAGTGGGAAGAATCTACTCCATAGAGAGAGAGAGAGAGAGAGAGAGAGAGAGAGAAAAACAGAATACAAACCAGTCATACTCATAACAATGGGAAGAATCTGCTATGGGATGATGATTTTCACTCCTATGATGATATCCAAGCTCGATTTGATGAAACCCAGCTCCAAGATCGCTTCTAGGGTGTGTTCTTCGCACTTTCTCTCTCTAGGGCTATGTTTTTTCTCTGAAAAGTCGATTTCCTCACTTGTGGCTCGAAATTGGGTTAAAACCAGAATTCCCGACTCACACGGGCAGGCCACACGGCCGTGTGGCTTACCCAGCTACTCGTGTGAGTGTCAAAACGCGGAGTTTCGAATAAATGGACTTCAGGCTACCTACACGGCCAGGGACACACGACCGTGTGGAATCTCCAGTATGCCCGTGTGAAGCCTCGCAAAATCCCACAAGGCCACATTGGTTCCTTACACGGTCGTGTGGGTTTTATGAGTACCCGTGTGGCTTCCTCAGCGTCTCGCCACACGTCCGATCTTCGTCCAATCGACCCCGAACTCGCTCCCTAACCTTCATTCACGTACTAGGACCTGAAATATCACAAACAAAAACAACCTAGCGTGAAATCGGCCTAAAACACGAGAATCAACATCTCAAACGGCTCAAGAATGGGGGTAAAAACATGTGCAATTAATGGTCTATCATCTGTGTTTTTCGATTCTCGCTTTCGTATTCTTGCTTTATCGATTCCGGCGATTTCCCGATCCGTAGCAGCGCGTTTATAACAGTAGTAGATGCGGCCGAGGAGCTTGGTGACGAGGGAGATGCAAAAGAGGTCGTAGGCGTCGGTGAAGAAGCCCATGCTGGCGATGACGACGGCGGTGAAGTGGTACCATTGGGTTTTGGCGGCGTCGAGTGCCGCGAGCACTCCGAGCGAAGGCTTTTCCTCCATTGTTGGAAAGTTGATCTCGAGGATTGCTCACATTCCGACTTCTGGAGATGATAGCGAATTGCTTGCTGGGGGCTCAAGAAGGATGGAGAATTAAAGGTCATTTTTATTTTTCTTAGCTTTCTTAATCGACTCATATCTTTTTCATTTTAACTCGGATTTTAATTATTATTTTTTTTTTGCATAGATGGAACGAGTTCGTTGTGCTCTACAAAATGATATACATTTTCTATATTTTTTTAGAAAAAAAAATTTCTTGCCTCTCCTTACCAACTGCATATCTAGGGGTGGGCAACGGGACGGGACGGGATACCCGTCCCGTTTTAAATGGGTACCCAGTCCCATTTGGAGACCAAAGTCCATCCCATATCCCAAACCCATATGGGAAACGGGTACCCATTACCCGTACGGGACGGATAACGGGTACCCATACTACCCATAAATACCCAAAGTTTAAATGACATTTTACCTAAAGACAATTAGTCACGCACTCAGAGGCGGCGGCGGCGGTGAATGAAGGAGGCGCCGAGGCCCGAGGCGAGCTAGGTTTCGACCTTTCGTCTCTTCTCTCTCGTCCCGCGAAGACGAATCCTCCAGCCAGGGACAAGACACAAGACATAGACAGACCTTTCCAAATTCTAGAGTAGCTGCCGCCTGCCGTCGCGTGTCTCGCATCTTCTAGGGCCTAGGGGTGCGTCAGCGTCTCAACTCTCACCGGCTGAATTAAATGGATTTTGTAATTTTAATGGATTTTGAATTGGGTTGGGCCTGGGCGCATGGGCTGAATTATATGTCTTTGTAATTTGAATGGGTACAACGGGTACCCATATTACCCAAACGGGTATTCGCGGGTAACCCGCGGGTACCCATATTAGGACTGTACAATCCCAAGTCCCATCCGTTTAAAATATTACGGGTAATATGGGTACCCGTAACCCTTAAAAAACGGGACAGGTACGGGTATACCCAAATACCCGTTTCCCGTTGCCCACCCCTATGCATATCATATGGTAACTTCTTCGTTTTAAATTCATTTTTGAAAATGATTGCACAGAAGGAACAAGTTCATCATGATCTATTGGATCTACAAATTTATGGGTGGACAAATTACAGGACCAAACAATACCACACAATACTACTCTGGTACGGGGTGGTATCTTGTGGTACACAATGCTAAAAGTCGTAAATGACAGTTAATATACTTCTACTATCATGTATTCAACCATCCTATAGTCTTGGTTTATTCATACCACCATGGTACGCTTTTCAAACCATAGGTATGCTCTTATTTCAATACCAGTCAATACCATATGGTATATACTAGTAAAAAATGGCTTAATTTTTTTTGTTCGAAAAATATATCAAAGTGGATATCATTTTGAAGAGCATAATTAATCTGATCTAACTGTGCAAAAAAATTAAATTTCAACTTAAAACGAGTGAGAAATCATCCATCAAAGATTAATGAGGGGAAAATTAAAGGCTTTCCAAGAGAGAGAGGGACGCTGATGTCATGTTGATGTGGACGGGTTACTCATGATTACTCACCATAAGGTTACTGACCTATTCCAGACCCATTGTTGGGTAGTGACGAAAAAGGAAAGCAGGGGAGGGTGTTTATTTATAGAAGGGACTGTGTTTTGTTTGATTCATATCCGATAAGGGTTAGGAATGTATTGCTCTCATCTCACTTTCCTCTTAGGCGGAAATCATATCAACCTGATCTTCAATTACAACCAATCTAGCAACTGAAACAAAGCATGGTTAATACCTTCTGATAGGATAAGAGTTTATAGAATAGAGCAATTAGAAACTGCATCGGGCAACATTTTCTGTTTTTTTTTTCAGCAGAGAGTCAACCATTAGTTTCACTGCTCTTCTGTATACTCTTCACTTCTGTTCAAAACGGAATGATATTACTATTTACCTAGAATCCTCTTTTATTGTCCTTTTCTTCACCTTGCTGCTCTCCTCTCATCCTCGACTTTGCTCGAAACTTGCACAATGCCGCAAGATTTTCTAGGAATATGACTACCACTAGAGGGCTGTAAAGAGCATTAGTCGTGGGTTTGAGAGAGGTTGGAAAAAAAAACCAAGCATAAGAAACGAAAATCGAGCGGGACGCGAGAAATTAACAATTGAACAGGGAGGTCAAAGTAACACCGAACTGTCAATACACTAAATATGCTTCACCCGCGAATGTATCACAAATGCTTCATTTCATAAAGGAAGTCTAGCACTCCAAGAATCAGTTGTTGCGGTTGAGTTGCACCCGCCGAGCCAACAATCCCAAGGGAAGAGTGAAACCGGTGAAACTGTACTTGAAAAGAGATCGATAGCTTAACCGGAGAACAATGGAAACAAACACAACCATGGCATGAGAGAGAACATACCCAATGAGGAGAATGGCATTTGGAGTCACATTGGTCATTTCACTAAATTACCTACGGCTACCTCTAGTTTGAAAATATAAAAGAGAGAGCGTCCTATATATGAGTCGGTCCATACTTACGTCTAACTTAAAGACAATAAATAAAAGTACTAGTAGGAAACAACCCGAATTTTAGTCTCTTTATAATTTTAGAGAATTGGTTTATTATAAATAAATTTGATTGTTTGGAATGTCTTCAACGTTTAGGTCGTTCATAATGTGAGCAACAAAATGAAGCTTATAATTTATGTTCTTGGCTGAATTTATAATCATAAAATTTGAAGGTACATTTTTCATGTGTTTAAAGTTGGTTTGCATGTGATTAAACAGTTCTCTTATTGGTGCTTAGCAACTTTATGAACCAAGTGCAAATAAACCAAGCCATATCACCTCACTAAGGCTGCAAATGAGCCGAACTACTCGCGAGCGTCTTGGCATATCACAATCTCAATTCCTAATATTTTATTCGATATAGGTATATACCAAATACAAAATTAATTGGCTGCAAAACTATAAATCACATATACAAACACAAATAGTTCTCCTTTTATAGTAGCTACAAAAACCATTCTCAAAATATATAAAAACAAACAATGGTGCCAACACTCCTTTGAAAAAATGAGAAAAATTCTCAAATATAACAACAACAAAGTCGAAAAACGTGAAGGCTTAGAAATACATTAACAAATTAAAGCAACAAACTGAAATATAGATTACTAAACAACCCATAAACATACTACAAGTAACAAAACAAGCTTGGTATGAGTTGTCAAATATATAGTGAGAGAAAGAGTTACATATAATAAGGTCATCTTGGCGATGGAGGGTCTGGTAGTAGTGAGTAAGAAAGTCTAGTTGGTACTTGTGAGAGATAAAATACACACTAGTTTATATTTCAATATTGATTTGTATTTCGATATATATGGATATCAATCCCATAAAATAATAAATATTGGACAACATTAAATATTGACAAATTTGATAAGGTATTTGGTATAACTCAAATACCCGTATACCACTGCTAAACTATACAACAGATCTAAAACAACATTCGGAGCAGATGGGTAAGACAGTGAAAATTTGGCTTCGGTTTTTACTTTACCAAATTTACAAAGTCCTAACCATGAGTAGAGCAATGTGCAAACAAGCAATAGGGTTTATGAATGGCTTAACAAATCATCAACACCATTCATTTTCAGCGCCCTTATTCCCACCTCCCTCTGCTCCCAATCCTCTTGAACATTCCCATCTCCTAAAATCTCAATTTTCTCTCACAAAACATTTCCTCCCCTGAAAAACCCGAAATGTTGAAGCTTCTCTCCTCGTCTTCCCGCAATATCCACACCCACATCGCTTCCTTGTGCCTCCGAGCTGCTCATGCTCCCAGCTCCAGCAGAGCTTCTGGGTCATCGAGCCCTAACAGAGCAGATTGATAGAGTTGCAGATTGAAGAAGGAATGTTGCTTTGCTGCAGATTGAAGAACGATGGAGGAACAGAGTACCCAGACAAAAACGTTTTGTTTCTGCCTCCCACTCCACCTGACTTAAAGCGAAGGTCGAAGCGATGTCGTAGAAACCAAAACTTACCGTTAGGTGGAGACCAAGAGGCCAATCAAACTAAGACAAGTGTCGATTGTCTTTTAAGCTTGTTTAAATGTCATTTTAACGATCATTTCATGTTTTACTGTTTGTTTACTTTACCTTCTGAACCAGAATATAAATATAATGATCTGGAGCCTTAGCAAGTTGCGGGTTTCCTCACAAATTCATTGCTCACATTCTTCTTATCTTTAATAACCAGCTCTAGCAGCTAGGTTTCACTTATGGTATCAGAGCGGTGATCTGCTTTTCCGCGTCAAAAACATTTCGATGAACACTCCACCCAGCAGCTCGGCAATGGTGATGGAGAGATCCCCTTTGGAAGCTTCAATCACAATGCTCAGAATCAACAGACCCAGTGAACCCAACATAACCAACAGACTCAACAAACGCAAAACGAAGCACAAGCTCACATCTATAATGGTATTCCTAACAACCAAGTGGGCTATGTGTTTGGTAGTCCTTACTATATCAATCCGAGTGAGAATCTGGGGCAATCTATAGTATCTGAGTTATTAGCTGAACACAATTACCATATGTGACAAAGGGCTGAGGGAATGGTTCTCAAAACCAAGCATAATATTGGATTTATTGATGGTAGTTTGCCTATGCCAGAACGTACTCATCCTGAGTTCCTTCTGTGGGGTGCTTTGAACACCATGGTGTTGTGTTGGATTCTAAATTTGATTGATAAAGATATTCGTCATAGTGTGTTGCAGCATGAAGTAGCCCAGACACTTTGGGATGAACTCAAGAAGAGATTTGGCAGCTATAATGCCCTAAGACTAGCAAATATGAAGGAAGCTATTGATTGTTTCAAACAAGATAGTCTGAGTGTGACTCAATATTATGTGCATTTGAAAGGATTATGGGAAGAGTATCTTCAGTTCAATCCTATTATTGATTATGATTGTGTGATCGTTAGAACCAAGCCTTGTGCAGCTGTTGAAGCTTTTAAGGAAAGACATGACACTAAGCACCTTATTAAGTTCCTTCATGGTCTACGACCTGAATTTGATGTTTTAGAAACTCAGTTACTGATGATGAAGCCACTACCCAGTGTGGAAGCCGTTGTAGATGATATCCTGCAACATGAACAAAAGCTCAAGTCAGACAAAGGCCATTCCAATAGAGGTGTTCCTTCAGTGGCACTTGCAGCGCAAGGTGATAAGCAGAAGAGCTTTAGCTCATTCGAGCCAAGTAAAGGTGGGAGAGATAGTCCAGATGCAGAAAGGAAATTTTGCAGATACTGCAAAAAGGATGGCCATGTGAAATAAGAGTGTTATAGACTCAAGAATAAGAAGGTCAGGATGACAGGAGATAACCGTTTTGCTGGTTCTGTTTCCCAGTCTGACTCAGGGAGCAAAGACACTGGTTCTACAGGTAGCAACCAGAGTTTAGACACAAAAAGCGGTCAGGACAGTCAATGGTTCACTACTGAAGAATTTAGCAAGCTGAAATCTCTCCTGCAGCACTCTGACAGCATGAGTCCCTCACCACCACTTTCACCCTCACTCAAACATGCTGCTTATTTAGTTACACAACACTTACCACAGTTTCCGAACTACTCGGGTAAGTTTATCCTCTCTTCTCACAAATATGGCTTAATGGGATTAGCTCAAATCTGGATATTAGACACTGGGGCCTCAGATCATATTTGTTGTACACTATCTCTATTGATTGATGCTCAACCTACAGTTAACCAGTTTATGTATTTATCTAACGGCTCAAAAATCCCAGTCAGTCACATTGGCACAGTTAGATTGCAACCTGGTTTATACCTTCAAAACGTCCTCTTTGTCCCTAGTTGCACTTTCAACCTCATATCTAGGGGTGGGCAACGGGAAACGGGTATTTGGGTATACCCGTACCCGTCCCGTTTTTTAAGGGTTATGGGTACCCATATTACCCGTAATATTTTAAACGGATGGGACTTGGAATTGTACAGTCCTAATATGGGTACCCGCAGGTTACCCGCGAATACCCGTTTGGGTAATATGGGTACCCGTTGTACCCATTCAAAGTACAAAGACAGATTTAATTCAGCCCAGGCCCAGCCCAATTCAAAACTAATTTTCGGCCCTTACCCACTGCACTGAGACCGTGAGACGCAGCGGCAGCCCTAGCAGCTTCTCTGGTCTCTGGACGCGCAACAGCTTCGGGAGTCGATGAGTCGTAGTGCCTCCTCCCTCCTTGTCTCCTTCATTCACCGCCGCCGGCCAGCAGCAGCAGCAGCAGCAGCGTAGGATCTGAGGGACTTCATTCACCGTCGCCGGCCAGCTTCGGGAGTCGACGAGTCTTGATGTGATTGTAACACGCCTATGAGAAAACATACAGCTTGCTTGTATCCCCTTTACAGCGCACATAGAAGGTTAGATCAAGACATTCAACTCTCTTTGATATTGCATACTCCACCCATCTATCGATATCCCGCCATAATTGTATAGATTATTAGATTAGTCAAGCTAAATCCAACTCTGAACTTTGTATGCTTTGTGGCCCTGTTGTGCTTTCTTTTCCAGCTTAGTGTGCTGCTAAATGATATAGTCAGCATTCCATTCATGTTCCATCTCGACATTTAGTTCTCAATGATGGGGTTAACTTTAAGGGCACGTTCGATGGAGATTTTGAGAAAGGAACACTAAATGATGGGGTTAATGAGCATTCTGTTATGTGAATTTCTGCAGATGTTGAACTGCCTGTGCCTTGTGCGATACTTGTATCTTTGTTTGCCCTCCAACACTTTAGACTGCAATTAACATCATTCAAAGTGAGAACTTCTTCTGTTTAATTACTTTTCTTATATGTTCATCTTCTGTTTAATTGTTTGAGATTGAATGTGTACAGAATGTCCATATATATCATGCCTTTGTGATTGAATTGAATGTGTTGTACAGAATGTCCATATATATCAGGCCTTCTTTGGTTGCTTTCTAATTTTGTATTGAGTTACTTGTTATAATGTTATTTCTTGTGCTAATTACTAGTTAGGTTTCTAATTTCCAGCATCTGTCTTTTTGGTTTCTGTTGATTTGGTTTCTAGTTTCCATGGCTAGTCAAGGAAATGAAGCCAGTCAAGGGAATAAAGCCCCTCAAACTGAACAAGCAAGTAAAGATGTGGGTATTGGTAGTGAAGAAAGTGACAAGGCTACATCAGCGTCTAGAAAGCGGAAAGCACCTGCCTTTCGATCACCGCATTGGGCCGGATACTCGGTGTTATTAGTTAAAGAAGGAAACCCACCGGTTGAAGTTCGTAAAGCAAAATGCAATCGTTGTGCAATTACCATTGTTGTTGGAAGCACCCATGGCACCAATGGCTTGAAGAATCATAAGATCTCTTGTGACAAGAAACATTTGGAGCAACTTAAACAAACAACTCTGAGTTTGCAGCCTAGTGCCTCCGGGGACGGAGCAGGGGGAATATCAACTTGGCGATTCAATCAAGAAGAATCACGGTTAGCTTTTGCATAAATGATTATGCTTGACGAGCAACCGTTCAGATTTTGTGAAAGGGAGGGCTTTCGTCATTTCATGTCTCGAGTTTGCCCCATGTTCAAAATCCCAAGTAGGATGACAGTGAGGACAGATTGTGCAAAGTTGTTCATTCAGAGAAAAGATAGCTTGAAGTCCTTCTTTAAAATTAAAGGCATGGGAAGGGTTTCAATCACAACAGATTGTTGGACATCGTTGAAGAATGATAATTATATAACTATCACAGCTCATTTCATCTCCAGAAGTTGGCAGCTCCATAAGAAGATTATATGCTTCAAGAAGATCACTAGTCATAAAGGGGAGGACATTGCACAAGTGGTGCTGACGTGTTTGAATGAGTGGGATTTGAAGAATGTACTTTGTTGCACAGTTGATAATGCTTCGGCTAATGATGCAGCTGTTTTCCATATGAGGGAGAAATTTGAAGAATGGGGGACAAGCATCTCAGGGGGGAGATACCTACACATGCGTTGTGTAGCCCATATCACTAATTTGGTTGTTTCTGATGGCTTAGATGAGATTGGGGTATCAGTGAGAAGGGTTAGAGAAGCTGTGAGGTGGATTACTGCCTCGCCATCTAGAGAATAGACATGGAATAGAGCAACCAAGAGCATGAACATCCAGTGCAAGAGATCACTAAGTCTTGATGTACCAACAAGGTGGAACTCAACATATCTAATGTTAGAGTCCGCTGAACCATTCGAGATTGCTTTTCCAGTTTATGCAGGGATGTTGCCTGCATTTGAGACTGAGTTAAACAAAATCATGCACTGTGGTGAGGTTGTTGGTTCACCTGGACCGGAGGATTGGGAAAATGTGCGTTGGATGATGGAATACTTGAAGAAGTTCTATGATTTGACTTGTCTTGTCTCTGGCACCTCGTATGTGACATCTCATCTATTCTTCAAAGAGATGTGTGATATATTTGATCACATAGCTAATGTGGGAAAACATCAAGATCCTAAGGTTAGATCAATGGCCGTACGAATGAGGTCAAAGGTTGCTAAGTATTGGGATGAGGAAGCAATGGGTAACTACAGGATGAACAAGATCCTATACATAGCTGCGGCTTTGGATCCACGACAAAAACTGAAGCATGTCCAAAAATGTTTGAAGAAAGTGTACGGAGTGGAAAGGGCGGCTTCGATGGTGGCCGAATTGAAAGGGTTGTTTTCTGAACTCTTTGAGTATTACAAGAATTTGTTGCTTCCACCTCGTCCAAGGATGAACTCCAACTCTCAAGACTCTTCTACACATTCTCGAAGTCAGGCTACGGTTAATATTGATGTTAGAAGGCTATCAAATCGTGGTTCATGTAGTGCTATAGAAGATAGTGATGAGGAAGGAGACGACAATGATGTTTCTGATTTGACACTCTATTTGACTGAGAGTCAATTCAAGGAGAAGCAACAAGAAGATAATGGTTCGGTTGTGGACTCCTTCGATATTCTTAAGTGGTGGTCAACTCATGGTTTGCGATTTCCTGTTTTGGCTGAAATTGCTCGGGATGTATTGGCCATCCCAATATCAACTGTTGCTTCCGAGTCGGCTTTTAGCACAGGAGGAAGGGTTCTAAACGAGTTTAGAAGTTCTTTGGCTCCCTAGATGGTTGAGGCTTTGATTTGTGGTGCTGATTGATTGAGAAGAACAACAATATAATTTTAATCGATGAAGAAGATGTGCCTGAATCCGAACAAGAAAAGGAATACCAAGAAGGTATGGGATAACGATTTACTTTTACTTTTACTTATAAATATTTACTCTAACTAATGCTTGTATGAGTAACTTGTTATTTGATATTTGTTTAACATAGTATTGCAATCCATTGGAGCACTATCATTTGCCGCTAGTGGAGGGGGAAATTCATCTTCCACAAGTTAGTAGAAGGTAAGAGTATCCCAGGATCTATGTGTTGTTATTTTATAGTTTGGATGTGGAAGTTCATAAATGAAGGAAAACTAGACTGCATATCTCTATTTTAATCTGTTTTCTCTTGGTGCTTGTACTTTGAATGGCATTTGCTTGATTTTTCTGTCATGTTTTCCCCTTGATGGTGTTCCACATTCACTGGCTACTCTTGGATTAAAAAAAAAAATGGAGTTTCGGGATGCGTTAATTGTCACTCAATTCTCTAGGCACTATTGGGTTTAGTTTGTGATTGCAACTGATTTTGAAAAGGAATGTTATATTGTTGTTGCTGCTTTCATGATGATTTCCTGTGGGTGCAAGAGGCCAAGTGGAGTGGGCTGGTTATGGCTGGTAAAGGGAGGAATATGTTGCATTCCTGTTGGGGTTTACATTCTTGATGAAATTCAAGTAGTACTCATAGTGGGGATGATTGTACTGTTGCTACATGGATGCTAGGCGCTACATCATTGATTTCATACTGCTCTTAACATTGTTTCCAATTGCAGCACATTTACAACAGCAGTTCAGCACACGGCAGCAGAAGGCAGAACTGCAGCAGCGGGCAGCCTGCAGCAAAAGGGAGAACCGCAGCAGAAGGCGACCAGTTCCAGCACTCCAGCAGCTTGTAGAAGGACGAGTAACACAGCAGCTTGTAGAAGGAATAGTAGCAGCAGCTTGCAGAAGCAGAAACTTCTTATTTGATATTTTGGTTCTGTTGAATGAAACTTCTTATTTGGTGATTTGGTGCTTAGAATGATTTATTTCTATGCGTTGTCATTGTTCATGATTGTGTAATTTGCAAACCAAGTATTTGTGATTGGGATGGATTTTGTGTCTTGTGATTGTTAAGCAAGTACAAGTTAAGTTTAAACTTTGTTAAAATTTTAGTGGTTTAAACTTTGGGTATTTATGGGTAGTATGGGTACCCGTTATCCGTCCCGTACGGGTAATGGGTACCCGTTTCCCATATGGGTTTGGGATATGGGAAGGACTTTGGTCTCCAAACGGGACTGGGTACCCGTTTCAAACGCGACGGGTATCCCGTCCCGTCCCGTTGCCCACCCCTACTCATATCGGTTAGCAAAATCACCCATGAACTTCCTCTTTCTTTACATTTTGAATATGACTCTTGTCATATTCAGGACCTAGTGACCAGGAAGCATATTGGTTTTGCTAGATAGAATAGAGGACTCTACCAACTTATCCCCAACATTCCAGCCTTACCTCACCATCACACAGCAACCACTTACAACTTTCAACCCCACCAAATTATGCTATGGCATTGGAGGCTAGGCCACCCAAGTAGAGAAAGAGAGAATCAACTTGTTGGCTGTAATAGTTCTCTAGTTAAACATTGTGAAACCTGTCATTTAGCCAAACAAAGAAAGCTTTCTTTCCCTGTTAGCACTAGTAGAGCACAGTCTGTGTTTGATTTGATTCATGTAGACATATGGGTGGCTCTTGCTGTCAAATCTTATGATGCTTATTCCTATATTCTTACTATTGTGGATGATCATTCTAGAGCTGTTTGGACTTATTTAATGAGGTTGAAATATGAAACTAGCAAGATTCTAGAGGCATTTCGTGTGATGGTTCACAAGCAGTTTGGTAAAATGGTTAAAGCTATTCATAGTGACCAAGGGAGTGAGTTCCACATGACATAATTTTACTCTACTCATGGCACTAAGCACCAGACATCTTATGTCGAGACTCTTGAGCGAAATGCTCGTGTAGAAAGGAAGCACCAGAACATATTGAATGTTGCCAGGGCCCTGAGATTTCAAGCTGGTCTCCCTTTGATGTTTTGGAGTGATTGCATCTTGCATGCTGTGCACCTTATCAACAGAATTCCTTCTCCAATTCTGCAAGACCTTACCCCCTACGAATTGCTATACCTCAAACCTCCTATCCTTTCTCATCTTAGAGTATTTGGATGTTTATCCTATAACTCTACTTTACTTAGAGATCGAACCAAATTTGATCCTAGGGCTAGACAGTGTGTCTTCCTTGGTTTTCTACCTGGGACCAAAGGATACAAATTGTTTGATCTCCACACACATGATGTGTTTGTCTCTCGCCATTTTATTTTTCATAAGAAGATTTTCCCTTTAAATCCACTTCTTCTACCTCTTCCTCCACTATTGATCCTCCACTTCCTACTTATCACACACCCTCTTCCTCTCTTTCCAGTCCTGACTCCACCTTTCCTACCCATTCCTCACTTCCTGATGACCATTTCCCCCCTTTGGTTCCTTCACTACCTTCTCAAAATGCTTCCCAGATACACTCTACACCTTCTTCCTCAACAACACCTACTTCCAGTCACTCTCCTTCCACCAGTACCAAACCTCCTTCTTATGATGAAGAATGCCCTGATCTGCATTTTGATGGGGAGGATAAACTATGTGCTCAGGAACCTTTGGAAGAGGGTGGGGGGGGGGGGGGACCCTGGAATCAAGAAACCTACCAGACATAGAACTAAGCTTGTATGTCATGAGGACTATGTGTTCTCAGCCGCCACTAGCAGCCATTCTATAAAGCACTTTGTTTCTTTTGACCAGCTGCCTGAACCTCACAAGACTTATGTGTTAAGTATCATGAATGCTGAAGACCTAAGTCTTATGCAGAAGCCTGTAAAGAGTTAGTCTGGAGGCTGTCTATGAATGAAGAGATGAATTGCCTGATAGCTAATCAAACTTGGGATGAAGTGATCCTACCAGAAGGAAAGAAGGCAATTGGACACAAACGGGTGTACAAAATTAAACACAAAGCATATGGCTCTATAGAAAGACACAAGTCCATACTATTTGTGAAGGGATTTACTCAGATCTATGGGATTGACTTCCTAGATACCTTTTCCCTAGTTGCAAAGATCAACTCAGTCAAAGCCCTACTATCTATAGCAACATCACATGATTGGCATATTCATCAAATGGATGTTGCCAATTCCTTTCTTTATGGAGATTTAAATGAAGAGGTTTACATGAAATCTCCACCTGGAGTTGTTGTCTCGGATCCAAGGATTGTCTTTAAGCTCAAGAAATCTCTATATGGCTTGAAACAAGCTAGTAGGCAATGGTTTGCCAAGTCGACAAATAGTTGATGATGTAGGTTTTTTACAATCATAGTCCGGCATAATGATGTAAGTTTTTTAGTTACCCTTAAGCCTCATTCTCCGATATGCTGCGAATAGTTGTCTCACTCTATGCAAATATTATAAGTAGTGTACGTGAATAGACATTGTTGTTTTTAAGAATAGTAGTACGTATAACGATGAATATGTTCCTTTGCAGCATTGAATACTCATTTCGGGGCATGCGAATGTTATAAAATGAGTTTGTGAGTATTCCCCAGTGCTTACCACAAATGCGAATTGGATGACATCAAATTGTCGTTTCTCTGCAATTCAACGAATAGTTGATGATGTAAGTTTTTTTCCATCATAGTCCGGCATAACATTAGCTTTAGCTTTAACTTTATCAATATTCTCGTAATGAGGAAGTCGTTCTCCAAATCTCCTTTTCGTACCCCGTAAGCCTCATTTTCCGATATGCAGCGAATATTATAAAATGAGTTTGTGAGTATTCCCCAGTGCTTGCCACGAATACGAATTGGATGGCATCAAATTGTCATTTCTCTGCAATTCGACGAATAGTTGATGATGTTAGTCTTTTACAATCATAGTCTGGCATAATGATGTAAGTTTTTTTGTAACCCTTAAGCCTAATTCTCCGTTATGCTGCGAATAGTTGTTTCACTCTATGCGAATATTATAAGTAATGTACATGAATAGACGTTGTTGTTTTTAAAAATAGTAGCACGTATAACGATGAATATATTCCTTTGCAGCATCGAATGCTCGTTTCGGGGCATGCGAATATTATAAAATGAGTTTGTGAGTATTCCCTAGTGCTTGCCACGAATGCGAATTGGATGGCATCAAATTGTCGTTTCTCTGCAATTCGACGAATAGTTGACGATATAAGTTTTTTCCAATCATAGTCCGGCATTACATTAGCTTTAGCTTTAACTTCATCAATATTCTCGTAATGAGGAAGTCACTTTACACGAATATTAGAAGTACCCTACATGAATAGACGTTTCTATTCTTAAGAATTGTATCTCTTATTACGATGAATATTGTCTGGTGCATCATCGAATAGTTTTAAGAATAGTAGCTAGAAGTACAATGCATGAGAATATTATAAAATGATTTTGTAAATATTCTCATGTGTGTGCCAAAATGCGAATTGGATAGAATCGAATTGTCGTTTCTCTGCAATTCTACGAATAGTTGATGATGTAAGTTTTTTTTTCAATCATAGTCCGGCATAGCATTAGCTAGCTCGAAGTACGAAGAATATGCTCAAATCCCCTTTTTTGTACCCCTTTAGTCTCATTCTCCGATATGCTGCGAATGGTTGTTTCACTCTATGCGAATATTATAAGTAGTGTACGTCAATAGACGTTGCTATTTTAAGAATAGTAGCTCGTATTACGATGAATATTTTCCTTTGAAGCACCGAATACTCATTTTGGTGCATGCGAATATAATAATGTCTTTTTGAATATTCCCCTGTGCTAGCCACGAATGCGAATTGGATAACATCGAATTGTCGTTTCCCTGCAATTCGACGCATAGTTGATGATGTAACTTCATCGATTATCTCGTAATGAGGAAGTCCTTCTCCAAATCTCCTTTCCGTACCCCTTTAGTCTCATTCTCCCATATGTTGCGAATAATTGTTTCACACTACGCGAATATGAAAAGTATTGTACGTTAATAGACGTTGCTCTTTTTAAGAATAGTAGCACGTATTACAATGAATATTTTCTTTCTCACCATCGAATACTCATTTCGGGGCATGCGAATATTATAAAATGAGTTTGTGAGTATCCCCTAGTGCTTGCCACGAATGCGAATTGGATGGCATCGAAGTGTCGTTTCTCTGCAATTCGACGCATAGTTGATGATGTAAGTTTTTTCCAACATAGTCCGGCATAATGATGTAAGTTTTTTGTAACCCTTGGATGGCATCGAAGTTTTTTTATAAGTAGTGTACGTGAATAGACATTGCTGTTTTTAAGAATAGTAGCACCTATAACGATGAATATGTTCCTTTGCAGCATCGAATGCTCATTTCGGGGCATGCGAATATTATAAAATGAGTTTGTGAGTATTCCCTAGTGCTTGCCACGAATGCAAATTGAATGACATCAAATTGTCGTTTCTCTACAATTCGACGAAGTTGACGATATTAGTTTTTTCCAATCGTAGTCCGGAATCGTATGGCTCGCCCTCAACTTTCTGTTGATAATACAGAGTATTATGGAAGATTATGGCTTGTGAAACCTATTTTTCAGGAACTGACCTATAGGAGAATTTTTTTTTTGGTAAAAAGATGTGAGGTTTTTATATACTTGTGTTAAAGGATGTGGTAGTTTACTTGATTGAGTATGGGATAGGCATAGGTTGAGATGAACTTTGAAGTCTCATAGGCTATTATGCAATATGATTTGGTTATCCATTGAGTATTGGATATGCATAGGCTGTTATTCAATATAATTTGGTTATCCAATGAAGCAACCATACTCTACTTTCTTTCATTCCTAGTGTTTGTTTGTTTAGTTGATTTAATAAACTTGTCAAGATCCCACTTCTATTACCAATGCTTCTTCGAAGAAACTGAAGTTGCTTACTTGCTTATCAGATTGCAAGCTTGTAGAGATATGACACAACTCCACTATCTATGCGTGTCTGAACAGATTTAATGAACTAAATGCGCTATACAAACATTTTGGTTTCGATGTGCACTTCAAACGTGCCTTCCACCTTGCGACAACAAGTAATTCTTATTCGACCCTCTCAGCCTTCCTGCCTTTGCATATTGTTGTTGTAATTCTGTAACTCTTTAGGCCACCATTGCTTATGTTGATGAATGGTATGTAAGAGATGGAACCAGTCGAGTAGAACCTTCTTTCATACAACTCATTGCTAACAACAACCTATACAAAAGAATATTAACCCTATCAATCACATTGTCTTATGGGTCACCATAACCTATAAAAAAGAATATTAAGCTTATCTTAATCACATGACGAGTCGAAGGACCTTTTGACGGTCTGTATGAGTCTGTCAGCATAACTTATCTCATTAGCCGCCATAGAATCCAGTAGATGGGCAGGCTCCTGACCGTTCACTATTAACATATGGACTGCAAACCTTTCAATATCACCTTCATCCACATACTCTTCTCTAGTTTCACAAATGCTCAGCAATGTTAGGAGGCAGATATTTTTCATCTTCATGTGCCTTATGGTCTTCACAAGTCGTATCAGAATAGCTGTAATTTCATCGTTCCTACAAAGTACGGGTGCCCCTTCCGGTGTCTCGCACAGATGGCTAAGGAGCTCCAGCCCACATTTCGTGTTGACACCTTCCTCCCAAGATCTAATCATATCAATGAAGACGGGAACAACGCCTAACAACCCAGGGCAGAAGCGTAGCTTCCTTCAATGTATGGCTAAGATTGCCCCCGCTGCCTCAGTTATTGCCCCAGTTTCAAGTAACCTTATTAGTCCCGGTAGGGCATCCTCTGCTTTTATAATTTCATCATGCGAGCCCAGCTGAATTATTGTGTCTGCTGCATACGTTTGGCAAAGAGCGTGGTGGCACCGTTCAAGACTTCGACAATGAATCTAATCCCACATGCCAGTATTCTTCTTGCCCCGTGGAGATCTTTTGAAAGGATTGGAAGTGCACTAATGGCAATCTCCTGCAGACCGGGGCTCGATGGGCCATCTAAAATTCGAGAGAGGGGTTCCAAAACTCCATCTTCCACTAAGGCTTCCTTGTCATTGATATTCCATCTGCCAATCAATTGAACCTCGTAGGCTCCCTTGCCTAAGCTCTCCACGTTTGGTGAACACAGTTATCCCACTAGAAAAGATGACAGAATCTACCTCACCGTCACAGCTGACCTAGTGCAGTGACTGAAAGAACCCTTTTGTTAAGGATTCTAGGGACTGATCTTCAGCACCCGCAACTACTTGTAACGAATAGGGATTTAGGGTTGGGATGAGGGATTTAGATGAGAAAGAATATTATAGAATTGGGAATTGGCCGAGGTCTTGGATTGGGAGAGAATAGAAATTAGGAGTTGAGAGGATAAACTAGGGTTTAGGAGACTCTTCTTAATATTATTCTTCATTGATTATGACGTAAACCCAAATTACATATTTATAAGGAAATACTGGAAAACCCTAACAATAATCCTAATACGACTAAATCACTACTAACCATAATTATAATTATCCTACCTAATATAATAATAAAAATCCCGATAGGGCGGGTTCCAACATTCCACCCCCCCCCCTTGAAACGAACCTTGCCCTCAAGGTTGCAGTTGACTTCCACCTCCTTGACCTTCCGCTTTCTTCGTTTCCAATTGCGCTCGATCCCTTGAAGTAACTCTTCTCATGAAACTCTAGCTTTCATCGACTTTCCTTCACCCACGTGACATATGTCATGTTCTCCATAGTCGAACAATTCTTCCTCTTCTTTTTCGCAATTCAGGAAATAAGAATCAGAGAACTGTTCTTCCTTATGCTCCAGCTTGAGGTCTTCAAGGAAATTATCCATAAATTGCTCCATGGGCTTGATGGTGAAAACAACCCATAAGTTTTCCCCCCACCTACTCTTCCTTCACCTTGAGCCCACATTTGATTGGAAGAAATAAATGTGGCCCAACCCAAAGTCAAGCATCTCCTTACTCCACTTGTCTGCTAACACGGATGGGCCTGACTCCTTTAAAAGCCCACTTGCCCACCTAATAGACTCATCTCCCTTCTTCAAAATGCAGCACATGGGCAGCCCACCGATTGGTTAGTGCGTGGCCCAAATTGACTCACCCCTCGGCCCATGCCGCTGCTCTTCTCGACCCAACCCAAGCCCAGTGGAATTACCCTCACGAGTTAACCTGTGGCCTAAGCTTTGGCGGCCTAGGGTTGCAGGACAATTGGGAACCTCCGCCTCCATGCTTCTTCTCCATCGGGGCTCTCGCCGCCACCTCTTCTCTCATCGTCGAACCACCGAACCTGACCGCTGTCTTCAAATCCGCCTCGTACTCCGAAGGTGGCTAAACCTCCATCGGCTTCCTCTTCTTCGAGACCTCTAGCGGCGAACACTTCACAAGGCCGTGGGGAGGTCACCCCGCTCCCTTCACCACTTGTTCCCGCTCGTCGGTCGGCGCAACACTAGTCTCCTCTTCCGTCGACTCCTCTGCTCCGCGTCATCTGCCAAGGGTTGCGGTTGCCATCTCCATGTCGACAGCAGATGTAGTGACTGGAGAACACATGGGCGAGGCCATAAAGATGCTCAACACGGAAGTCGGCATCTCTGCTTCGTCGGTTCTTTCGAAATCGCCAATTTGGGACGCGATTTGTCGTTGTTCTTCTCTCCGCGCCTCCCTTCGGTGGTTCTTTTAGAGAGGCGGCTGTTATCGCCACTTTTAGGACAACGAAAGAGGCGGCAACCTCGTTCCTCTTCTTCTTCTTGAGCAATCCAGCAGGAGCTTCCATCACGGTGGCAGTTGGTGGCGCTGGAACCTCTTTCGTGACCGGCGAATCCACCGCCAGGGGCTTCTTGACTTCCGTCTTCACCTAGAATGGTAGGGTAACAGCTGGCAATGATGGTGATGTGGCAGGAAGGGTAGCTGCTGTGGCTACCTTCTCGGCCACCACTGTTCGTTCCTTCAATGCGGTAGTTGCAGCCTTGAGTGGAGCAGCTCTCCCGATATTCCCGGACAGCGGTAAGGACGAGCTCACCTCGTTCCTCACCTCTTCCAGCTTCAAATTCAAAAGCTTTCTGAGTTCTTTGACTAAGAGTTCGACGTAGGCTGCAACCATGGTACGAGTGCTTGCAACCATGGCTCTGATACCACTAAAAGAACCCTCTTGTTAAGGATTCTAGGGATGATACTTCGGCACCCGCAACTACTTGTAACGAATAGGGATTTAGGGTTGAGATTATTGATTTAGATGAGAGAGAACATAATAGAATTGGAAATCGGCCGAGGCCTTGGATTGGGAGAGAATATAAATTAGGAGTTGAGAGGATAAATTAGGGTTTAGGAGACTCTTCTTATTATTCTTCATTGATTATGACGTAAACCCAAATTACATATTTATAAGGAATACTGGAAAACCCTAACAATAAACCTAATACGACTAAATCTCTACTAACCATAATTATAATTATCCTACATAATATAATAATAGAAACCCCGATAGGGTGGGTTTCCAACAGTGATCTCCCAATTTGGCCTCGTCGAGCCTTTTTGGCATCAGGTATTCTGTTTCAATTATACGTCGGATCTCCATGTTCGGCACCATACCCATGTCTCCAATTGGGATTCTATTGAGGGGACAAGAGTCATTCCCGTCTAGAATTGTTGGGTTGGTCCAACTCATATGGTGGTTGGATTAACCGGTTTGAATTTTGGTTGGTTTCTAGAAGATCCTCTATTTTCAAAATAGAGAGTTATTGTCTGGTCAAAAGTGAAAAGAGGAGTCAGCCTTTCATTTTCCAGAGAGAGAGAATAAAAAAAAGAGAAGAGATAAGGAAAAAGAGAGAAGAGAGAAAGAGTTGCAGTTTTTCGTTTTTTTAGTAGGGCAGCATTTTCAAGTGAGTGTCTGGAAGATTGAACCGTTGGATCGTTCTGAAATTCTGAAAGTGGGTTCGCAATTGTCTGGGATGCATTCTTACCAGAGGGACCAGCATTATGAGCTCTAGTGCATCTGAAATCACTACTAAACAGAAGGTGTACGAATCTGTTTTTTTTTGTACTCCTCAACCTCTCTTTGTCTTGCTCTTGTTCTAGTTATCCACCATGTTGGTGAGAGCTATTGTGGTTGATTGTTGATCCAAGAAGGGTGTTCTTGATGTGTTTTGTAATCCTCTAGCTATTCTAGAGAGACTTGTTATCCCACCAAAGTCTAGTGGAGTTGTGGCTTGGACAAAGGTCCCGTGGTTTTTCCCGATTTGGGTTTTCTACGTAAAAATTGTACTTTATTTATTATGTTTATGTAAACCATAACATGATAATTCCTTCCTCCAGCTTTCACAACCATGGTCGTCGTGACATCAACCACCAATGCAACGAGAGTAGTACACCGCAGCAGCAGCTGGTCTGGCGGTCGCCGGAGCCACCACACACGGTGCCGCAGCCTCTTGCTTGATAGTAGTAACGCATTGTTCCTGCTTCACCGCTGCAGTTTCCACCACCCTGGGAGCAGCAACAGGGCTTGCAGCGTAGAAGCCAGTACTCCTCTGCATCTTTGCTCTCAAGTACGTAGTCTTGATTAGCAACCAAGTTGTTATTATATATTGACGTACTAGTTTGCTGATAAGCTGGTTTGAGCTTGGATAGAAGAATAGCGCTGATGGATCATGTTCACATGCACAAGTGTTACTTAATAAGTTCGGGGAAGCCTAGGAGTTCTTTTTGGTCCGTTGCACCATGTCTTAGCAATCATGTACTCGTTTTTATGAATGAATTAAGATGGTCAACGAATGGATATTTGGAATCTTGAACATGGATTATGCACGTGCCATAAACCTTTTAAACCCTTCCTTCTCAACACATCTAAAAGGTAATTCATCCAAGGTTATCATTTCAACCAAACCACTTCTAATCCAATTTTGATCAAACTTCCAAGTAGAAAGAGTTCCTAGACCATCATTTGATTGTTGAAAGTTAAGTTCAATTGACCTCTTGATTGACTTGACTCTTCCAATTTCTTCTTGCATTTCTCATGATGGTTAGTAAGAGTAGACGTACCATTACTTGATGGATCAGCAGCAAATGATTGACCACAAAGGAGACAACTTGCTTTCTTCTCGCCATTTTCAATATATCTCTTGTACTCCTTCCATATTTTCGACCTCAATCTACCCCATATACGGATGTCTTCAGCATCTTGGAAGATAGTAATAGAAGCTTTTGGAGGTGTTGGGGCAGCTGGAGCTGCTGCTGGGGCTGCTGGAGCAGGTACTTGTTGCTGCCCTTGCTGTCCCGGAGCTGGAGGAGGCGGCATAGCTGCTGAATCTGCATCAGTTCCAAAGCTATCTTCGTAACGAGCTCATTTGTTAGCCTGAATAATAGACAGAGACATATTAAGCATTCTGGCCATTTAGTAACAGTTTGAATTGGAATGGAAGAACAAACATAGAGGAATGGAAGAACAATCGACCATTATTAGTTTATTACCATTCTCTGTTGCAGCGGCCAGTCACAATGGCGGAGTCAATGGAAGAGTTCGATGGTGGTCGGCGGAGGTCGATGGTGGTCGGCGTAGGTTGATGGCAGTCGGTGAAGTGAAGGTCGATGGTGATGGAGCAATGGCGGTCGGCGGAGGTTGATGGCAGTCGGTGAAGGTCGATGGTGATGGTCTGATGGAGCAGCCTGAGAAGAGAGGATGGTGGAGGTCGATGGCTATGGTGGAAGGCGATGGAGACGAGAATGGTTGACGGGACAATCGGACAGGGGAGGTGACGAACCTTTGGACTTTGGCGGATGATGGATAATCGGACAGGGGAGGCGAGGCGACGATGGGGCTCTTCAAGCTAGCCTCACCAACCTTCGCAGTTCGCAACGATGGGGCACTTCTCCGAGCGATTTGCGACCTCCGACGGGGCTGCGCGATGGGCGATGCGCGATGGGCGATGGGGCACTTCTCCGAGCGATTTGCGATGGGGCTCTTCGCTACGGTGGGGCACTTCTCCGAGCGATTTGCGACCTCCGACGGGGCTGCGCGATGGGCGATGGGCGATTTGCGACCTCCGATTGGGGAAGCAGCTGTCAGCTAGCCGAAATGGGGAGGCGGGAGGCCGAAGCACGCAGCTAGCTAGGGCTGCGGTGAGCTGTGGCCTGTTGGAGAATGATATTGGGCTTTGGCCCATTGAATTGTGGAGTCTTGGAGCTGCCTATTTGGGCTTAGCCCATAGTTAATTTTTGCAACGGTCTGGACGGTTAACCACGGTCTAGACCAGACCAAACCGTTCCAGACCACAAGTGAAAGAGGCAAACCATGGACCATACCAAATTGTATTCATGGTCTAACGGTACGGTCTAAACCGCGGTTTGTCATACGGTTTGGTCTAAATTCCCAGCCCTAGTTTTAACTAATTAATTCTCGTTTGTCAAAAAGAAAAAACTAATTAATTCACAATTCCTGACCAAATCATTCCATTGGAGACAAATGTACATATCCATTATCATATACATATCCATTCGTGTTTTGGTTATCCATGGATATCCAGGAATATTTATTTTTTCTTTATTATTTGATCTAATGTTTTCCTATTTGTGAGGATTAAAAAGAATAACATGTTATATATGCTTTACTAAATACATATGCTAATTGAGCGGGTTTGGGGATGAACAATAAGAAATCATACTCCTCGTTACCCAAAGTATTAAGGTTTACTTTGGATTTTATCCATATGCCACAGAGTAATTAATTTAGTTCGGATTTATCCTATTTATTCGTATTGGGTTCGAGCGGTTAACCATGTTCCTGGATATTTTACCACTTGATTTTCCCTTTTAATGATTCACTTGAATTGATAGTCGATACCTCAGCTCCCTGATAGGCTGATACTCATTATTCCACAACTTAATCACTCATGTTCAACATTTGTTATGAGTTATACACTCAGCCTAAATCATACTAAAACACAATGCTTTCTCCCAAAGTCTTCAACGATCCACCTCTGTCGATGCCTCCAGCCCTCTCTGGCTGCCTGCCGGACATCCCAAATACATAATAACATCTTCAAAGGCCTCCAACAACACTCATAGTTACACCGCAACCACTTAATTATAGAGTAGCTCAGGTAGCTACCACACAAGAGAACCCACATAAGATGACCCAATGGACATCTCGGAGCTCACGATCTAGAACCCAGCTCTTCCCGGGTAACCAGAGCTCAAAGTTTAATTAAAATTTAAAGAACGCCTAAGCCAACCCTGAAAAGACCTTGTTGGTAGGCTTTTGGGCCAATCCATCTCATACTCTTATCTGTGCTCTCATCTGTGACGGAAATGGCGACCAGTGGGGTGGGGCCCTTGGACATAATGAATCTCAACAAAACTTTCTTGGCAACGTTTGGTGACGATCATGATTATCTGCAAGCTCCTACAGGAGGCCCTTGGGTCATACTAGTGTATTACTTGGTAGTTCACTGATTTGAGCGTAGTTATACATGTTTTACCTCCTCATATCTTAATTGTTTTCCTTGGTAATCGTTATTACTCGAACTATTTTTCGCTAGGTTGTGCTTCTTTTGTCACATTTCAAATCCGAGAACGTGTGAGATGGTCGGAGAAGAGCTTTGAGACATTTGGAGGTCAAAACGCACCAAAAGAGTGAAAAAGAGGTGAAGATATCACGGGATCGAGGTGAAGATCACAACCCATTACAAATAGGGTGTGATCTCCGCATGGGACCAGGAGATTTGCACAGTTCGCGGGCAATGCCAACATCATGGTCGCAAACTGTGATCTTTACGAGGAGATCGTGAAGTTTAGCAAAAAACACAGCGCCTTCGTTTGAGATAATGACCTGGCTATTGAGATCATGATCATGATCTTTGAACCGTGAACTTTGCACTCAAGTATTATATAAAGGCACCTGCCAAGAGAAAGAAAATAGGAGCTTGGGGGTTATCAAGGGGAGCTTGGTTTTTCGTTAGGGTTTCGACCCAAAACACCAAAGAGCCATTTCTAGAGAGAAAGAGAGGTCTAAGACGGTACTTGGAGATAATTTGGAGGTGCAAATCACCATTGGAGCTTGAAGATCACTCTTAATAAGAAGAAGATGGAAGAATTTGAGCTTTGTATTGTAATATCTCTCCTCACTATGAACTAGACCTCTTCACTTAGGTTGATGAACACTAATTCAAGATTTTGGGTTGATTATTGATGCTTGTGACAAACCTATGATTGTGATGCTCTATTATCTATTGGATGGAGTATTATTATTGCAATTGATGGATCTTGATTTCACCCTTCAATTTGGGGCTTTTTGACATAGTAGGAAGAAAATCCAGTTATGGCCCATTTTTGGCAATTCAGGTCACTTCTCAATCTATGTGTTTTCGAGCTAATCTCTAATGGAGTGAATTTGATTGATCTCATGGCGGTATAGAATTTAAATTATATTCCCCTAGGTTGAATAGATCACTACCAATTCATCACTGCGAGATCTCTAGCTCTGCACTTAGCGTTGCACGTTGATTCGTTGGAACATAAACCGATTGGCCTGAACTGCTTGATAAGCATGGGCATCGGGGTCTTGGGAATCAGGACTGGATAGTTGAGTTAACGTCCTTCACCATATTCAGATTTGCCCAACACTTATCTGCCAATCTCACCATAGATCCACCGACTATCCCCCAACACCTGTGAAATTCTTACAGAAGAGCTCTACAAGAAGCATGCAAAGTATCTCACTCTTGAGTGCACCGAACCAAAGATTGACAATCACCACAAAAATTGTCATGCAAAAAACCATAGAGCAAACACCAGTTAACTACATCACATAAGGATAGGAGTTGCATCACGTAATGCAAATAATGCCTGCCAGCACTCCGAGTGCACCAACATAGCTAGTCTTTGCTGAAGTAGACACATTCCAGCTAAATCCCACAGTTCACGCGCAACTCTACAGACAAGGAAAGAGAATAATAATTTCGAATCCTTCGGAACACACCAAACAGGAACTATCTGTGGCAAGTCGCTAATTAATACCAAATTAGTTTGTCCGGAATTGGCTGCGAATGTAGGGGAATTGAAAGGATGAGAGAGAACGAATCAGGCACAAAAAGACCTAATAAGATGTTCATTCCATGTTTGAGTAAGAGGAACATTATATAAGCAACCATTTTCTGAAAGATATGAACACCCATTATATGAGTAGGGGAGGACGGATGGTTGGGGTGGGGGGGGGGGGGGGGATGGAAGTGAGCCACTTAGCTGTTAGGAGAAGCACTGATTTTCCATCTCCAATGCGCCAGCGTGGACCACAACATATGAGATCTCTCCCTTGAAGAACGCACTTTCATGCCCAATAAGGTCGAGATCCTGCTCTTACCTCCAACCTAGATACCTGTTATTCGAATTAGAGTCCGCCACTCCAAGTAAGGCACCCAAGGCTGCTCATAGAAACATTTGCGCTAATAGTAATTGACGACTTATGTATGTTATCTTTGGCCCACTAACCCGCTCATATTCCTAACCGAAGTCAGCCTATGCACTCGCAACCAGGTAACACGGAAGCACCAATGTCATGGCTTATATTCGCTGTAAATGCTTCAGAATAGAAGGAGAATAACAACGGAGAAATTGGGTTGCCTTGTCTAATACCTCGCGGAGGCTTGAGAAGCTAATTTTCGAAATACAAGCCTTAATTAATCACACCCACTCTTGACAAAAGTTGATCTGCTGCATAATGTGAATAAGGAAGGACCAATCAACAAGGTCCTATGCTTTCTCCACATCGATTTTTAGCGCCATCCATTTGTCGCGTACCTGCACCTCAGTTTTCAAAATTGCATAATATCCTGGCCTCTCAATATATTATCAGTGATAGACCAACCATATGCACAAAGCCATTTTGATTTGAAGTCACAATATCTGGAAATACATACCCAAGTCTTGAATCTAAAATCTTTGCAATAATTTTATAGAATAACTGACAAAGACCAATTGGTTGTAGTTGCCGCATCATATCTACATTGCGGGACTTTCGATAGGAGAGAGATCTACGTATATTTGAAGTTGTGGAGAAGCCGACCTGATCTAAGGAATGAAAGGACAACTGCACTTATATCAATCAATTGATAATATACCAATAAGCTTGGAAGAAACACTCGTGAAACCATCGGATCCCCGAGCCTGAATGATATCAATCCGAAAAACAACAAGCTTAACTACTTTGGAGTTACTGGAGCTACCCATAAAGCATTCTTAGAATTTAGGACCATGCGTTCCAACCCCAAGTCCATAATGAATTGAGAATGATCCACTTGGTAGGAGGTAAATAACAACTAGAAATATGAAATGACAATGGCAGCCATAGCCTCCTCTTTATGCTGCATAACATGGGCCTCATCTCGCAACCCAACAATCTAATTTATCCTACATTTTTGTAGAACAACCGCATGAAAAAATTGGCATTAGAATCACCTTCTTTCTGCCAATGTACTCGAGACTTCTGCTTCTAGAAGCATTCTTTCTGTTTATAAGCATCCAGAAGCTGGCTTTCCAAAATGCTTAATGAAATCCCAATCCACAGAAGTTGCCTCTCATGCTTCCTCAATAACCGCCTTGAATTTGTGAATCCAGCGAGTAAAGTTGCACGTATTAACAGACGCCCAAGCAACCAACTCATGGCAAGCATGCTTGAACTGAGTAAAGGCCCGGAACTTAAGATTTTGCTTGAATGTTGGAGTTCCACCTCCCATCATATTTGAATGTCGTACGCAAATGATGATTTTGCTTCAACAACTGCACTAGAAGCATAAAATGGTCAGATCCTAGATCAGTTAAGTGTGACATCTATGAGACATTTATGAGACATCTGTCCAGCCGCTCCATAGTATGCACACCAACTTACCAAGAATTGGTCCATGTGAATAGAGACCCTTGATAGCCTAAATAAACCAAACCTACAACATTAACAAAGGAACTAAGCTGATCAAGGCATGCCCAAATCGGCACATTACCGCCAACTTTTTCTGTAGAGTAAAGCTAACAATTAAATTCACCACCACCACCGCCAACAACAACAAAGACAGACAGAGACCAAGAAAATAAAATTCTTAATATCATTAAACTGGTTCTTACGAATATACACATCACAATCTATGTGCACGAACATAATTACAAACCTCCCAAAAATAGGAACAAGACACTTTACAAAACACAGAAAAGACCCAAGAAAATGCATAGTACCGGTGACATTGGCAGCCCATGCTACCGCAAGACCCCACTTCCATTTGACGCACTAAAATAACATACTTATTTAAACCAAAGCTAGCAAACTTATTAAGAACAAAGTCATCATCCCATTTTATTTCACACAAAAAGACCATACTAGGAGAGAAACGAGCAATTGCTCCACCCAATGACGAAACGTCAACTGGGAGCCCATCCCTCTACAGTTCCAGACGATGATACTTATGGATGTGGCTGTGACCAATCAAGGCTTGTTGACGCCACCTTAGTTGTAGTAGATGTTGAGTAAGAGGGATGATCATTGCCTAGACGAGGACGCTTTGAAGAGGGAGAAGCATAGGTCGGCACAGAACCATCCCTCAAACTATCAGGCCCTCTACCCGCTAAATCCATATCCACCAGATCACCCCCAAAAGTGGCGGCTGCTCTCACTGACACTATGGACCATAGATAGAGACCAAAAGTGAATCTCCATACTCCTAAGACGAGGCCTGCGGGTTTCCTGCCAACTAGAAACCCTGACCACCTGCAATCACCAAGTCTTGAACTGTAGGCCTTGTTGACGGTTCCAGGAAATGTCCAGTCAAGCGAGAGCAACGAGACCCCCCCGGGTACCAGCATGGATCCACGTGAATCGAAGGTTCCGCTTGGCCAACGATTGCTCACTCACTTGGGGGTTTGATTCTATCATCAAGTTGGCCTTCCCATACCTCGATGAGTAGAGGTAACTCATCCTTCCTACGGTGGACATCGCCAATATTGCATATAACTCCACAAAGAAAACAAAAGTGATCAACTTTTTCAAATTTAATCTTGGCTACAAATTCACCTTTTGTAGGGTCATTGTGAGAAGCCGCTATCTCATCTGCAAGAGGAAGAGCCAGGTCGAGCACAGTCTCCACCTTAACATAGAGGCCACTAGTAATCACCGAGTGGTGGAGAGTTGGAGAGAATATATATCTCGCCCAATGCCAAGCACAACCGAATTGCCATTTTCTACGTGAAATAGTCGAAGGGAAATCGCCAAATCTGCACAGCCAATGGAGCGCAACGAAGGAGATGGGCCACATCCTGCGACGATGATGCCCACGGAGGGAGCACCAACATGAATTTGGGGAAGATCCACGGGGTTCCCTTGACCGCCTTTTGCCTATATCTTCCTCCAAAAAAAGATGAACTGGGTAAGCCCCAAATACGCCCTGGAAAATGTTACATCCCTCTCTAATTTTCACGCTCGGACCAACATTGTCTTGAGGGTAGGAATCCCAAGCAAAACTCCAAAGATCTGTACCATTAAGCGACAAATCCCCCGACAAAAGCTAGCAACATTATCATCATCATTGAAATGAACCGCAATCTCCATGGTCGTGAAACCGAAGGGGGGCAAATCCACAGACATAAGGAAAGAGACTTGGGGAAAATAGAAGATTTGAGAACAACCCTCCATTGTGGGAGGGGAATTTAAAGCCATGGAGATCCGAAGAGCCATGCTACGTCCATGCACGACGTTGGAAAGCCTGTAACAACCTCGGGGCACGATGACGATTCACAACCCCATGAGAGAGAGAGAGAGAGAGAGAGAGAGAGAGAGAGACTTTTTTTCCAATCACAACAAATATTTGACCTGAAAATTACATCCTATACTCCATTTTTTTTCAAGGCAAGTCCAAAGGCCATGGGACAAAGACGCGACTTAGTTACAAGGAGAACTCCAAAAAAGGTGGTAATCCGTAAGCAAGCGAATTCCCGATGAAAAAGTATATTTAGTCACTACATGGCCATTGTTAAAGTTTCGAGGAGCAAAATGACACGACACTGACTCAAAAAATGAGAGATTTGATATCCACAAATTTTAGAGATTTGAAATTTCAAAAACCACAACACATAATACAAAAAGGCCAAAAAATATAACTTTCTTAAAAAATTTATGAATTCAATGAATCTATAACATAAATCTTTTTCTCCAATCAACCCCTTAGTATTTTTGGGGAGTTGCAAAGTTATCTTAGTCGGTCATGATCGATAAATCTCTTTGTCGTTGCCGTTAATAGGATGGTTGAGCAATCAAAGTTGAATTTGTTCGAAGAACAAATCTTTTTATTCATTCATCATTAAAAAAAACTCACTAATTCAAGAAGACAAAACTGTTGAATGCTTATTATGTATTTATGTTACCTAATATCAAGATTTTTGAAGGGTTGTTTGGATGAATGATATGTGTCCAAATTCCACATATACATCAATAAAATTTCATATTTTCCTTTGCTAAAGATAATGTGAGAATTGAGATTGTGTTCCAATTACCATTTTTCGGGAATTCCACACCTTCTCCTATTTTTTTCAATTTTTATGTGTTACAATTAATTTTTATATGTCAATTTCTTGAATTGTTAGCCTATGATCGCATTCAAATCAAATTGATTTAAATATATGATGAAGAACCCATAAGAAAATATTTAAGAGTATACATGTCTATCAAGAAAAAATATATAATTTAAATACGTACTTTATTCAGATCATCATATATAACCTTACCTTTCAAATGTAACACCAAAACACACGAACTAACCAACCAAACGAAAAGCAGATTCAATTAAAAATTGAACACTTTATTTATTACGTTTAGGTAACCATAACATGATAATTCCTTCCTCCAGCTTTCACAACCATCATCGCCGGGACATCAACCACCGATGCAATGAGAGTAGTACACAGGAGCCGGGGGCGCAACTTTCTCTTCCTGCTTGATGCGGCTCACCACAGCAGCAGCAGGTTTGAGGGTTGCCGGCGGCGCAGCCTCTTGCTTGATAGTAACGCCTTGTTCCTGCTTCACCGCTGCTGTTTCCACCACCCCGGGAGCAGCAACAGGGCTCGCAGCGTAGAAACCAGAACTCCTCTGCATCTTTGCTCTCAAGTAGTCCTGATTAGCAAGCAACCAAGTTGTTATTATATATTGACGTACTTTATTCTGTTCTCTCACTTTTCTCTTACCGATTGCTAGTTTGTGCTTGGATAAAAGAATAGCGCCGATGCATCAAGTATTTATATAGAGATGGGATTGAAAGGGTTGTTGAATCTTGATGGATGTTCATGCACGTACAACTATAACTTCACACGATCGGGGAAGCCTAGGAGTTTTTCTTGGGGCTGGCTAAATTTGTGGGTTGGTTACTTGGTTCGTTGCACCATTTCTCAGCAATCATACTTGTTTTATGAATGAATTTAGATGCAATCATTTAAACGGATATATACATGAGTTGATTGAAATAACAAGTATATAAAAATAATTATATGGCGCAATTAGTGGTAATTGGTAAATAAAAGCTATCGATTTTGATTTCTCGTATCTATCTCTATTAGTATTAGCCCCTACAAAATGGACGTTGTGTCCACACCGCCAATTTTGATCCAGAGAATAAGAAACCAGGGATTATGCAACGACTTCGTGAGAGCATCAACCAATTAACTCATGAATTCTGGAGATATTGTGAAATCGGAGTAGGCCAATCAGGATGAGTCGCGGGACAAAATGGTAGTCGGGGGGCCAAGTGTTCCATACGAGACTGAAACACTAGATTTGCGCAGAAGTAATTGCACCTATTCTAATTTTGTGATGGCCCGAGCAATGACGAGAACCTCGACTTACCGTGCTGGAGCTAACAATCATGTGTTGTTTTTGTGAGTACTAAGAGATGATATTGGAGCCTAAATAGATAAGATAGGCAGAAGTAGAGATATGATCATTGCGATTGCTTGCCCAATCAGAGTTAGCAAATGCATATATAAATAGAATGAGTGGAAGTGACTTACGAGTCCATAGTATATGTATATGATGTGGAGGTCCGATATTTTTGTGATGTTATGAACCCGTCCGGTCGTAAATCGCAGGTCAATATATGCTTGTAATTTACAAACGAAAGTATGATAAAAAATTGAAATCTTTTTTTTTTTTTTTTTTGGTAATACGATCAATTGTAACACTCTAGCTCGGTTGAGCAATACTTTTACCAAAATGCCCTTGAGTAATCAAAATAACTCAAAATTGAAAGAACAACAGAAATAATTTTAAATGAGCATTAGTCTTAAGCCTACTAATAAAAGTACATAAGTGAAGGAGTTCATTTGGGATCTTCTGCAATCACCAAACCTTGTGAAGATGACATCTCGAGTAGCAACTTCCTCCTGGTGAGTTGTCTGATTGCTCACTTCCTTGCAGCTCCTGAGTGCGGGCGATGAGGTCAGTCCGAACCCTAATTTCGTTATCATACGTAAATAAACAGCCATGCACATGTAATGCTTATGATATGTTTGGGTACATTAGTAGGAGTATATTATTATTAACATATTCTTACTTATAATCTTCTCTACCTACTTAACTTGAAATGGGATCTCACCCTCGACTTAACTAGCACAACCGTTTGGCACCAACTTATCATGAACATAACCTTCTCATCTACAAGGAAGGAGTAACATAACATACCTCCCATCTACATGGAGTAGTGGTGATCGCGTCCGACACCGATTGTGACATACATATTATGACCCCTCATCTACAAGGTGTTCCTCATCTACAAGGAGTAAGGTGACTGCGTGCTACTGGTTAAGGGAGGGTTCTTATTCTTACTTATTAGCTTGATATCTTATACGTGCTTGCTTGGAACAACCTCTCCATTGTGGAGAAACATACTTAATCTTGTAATTTACACATTAGTCCAATTTCAAATTTTAATTAAGAACACAAACAAACAGTTCATTACTCTCTCCTCCCTAACACAACAATAAACTTTCTCTCTCCTCCCTCACCATCTCTTTCCCAACTCAAGGCTCTGCAACTGCAAATCTTCTCTACATCCCAGCCTCCTCCCACCATTGATAATCTCAGCTGTTGCTAGCCAACCTTTTGTTGCTACCTTACATTTCAAAAAAATTTCATAGGAAAAGCTGTGTTGATCGACAGGGTCCATCGAAGGATAGCCTGAGCCGCCGGAAGCAGAGGTACATTCATCCCACGATTTTCACCTCGTTTCACAGTCCTACCAATGGCAAGACGGGAGGAGACAGATGCGTAACTCTTCACCTTTCTCGGTCGGCTTTACCGGCGATTCAGAGGCAGCAGACGACAATTAGGTTTAGGTTTGGACTTGGGACGTTGATTATGTGTGGGTTTGGTATCGTGGAGGTCGAACTTGAGGGGGATACGGACATTGATGATGGGACAGATCAGAGTCTTCTTCTTAGGACTAGGACTAGGGATGACCATCAAACCTCTGGCCGCGGTTATCTGACCGCCCCCGACCCAGTCGACGCGGGGAATCCCGCTTTGACCGAGTATGGGGCGGGTGTGGATAAAATCCTTAAAAAAATTGATGAGTATGAGGCGGGTATGTTTTTGCCTCCCCCGCCTCATACCCGGCCCACCAAGAGAATTTCTTCATATATAAAAAAGATGTTGATCAAATTATAACATATCAATGATAGTGAAGGTATCTCGAGAAAATAAATAGTAGAAATGTAATTGAGTGGCCACCATAATCAAAACTTAATTCATTTTCCTCAATTCTACTTCAATTTTTCACTTTCTCCTTTATCAACAAGGTTGTGTTAGTTAATTATAACTTAGTAGATCTATGACAATTATAGCATAATAATTTGGAAAAAATTGTACTCATGTATTAATGGATGTTTTTGGATCATATTCTTTGAACCGTATTAAGAAAATGACCATATTTTGTTGACTTCATTATATAGTAGGTTCGTTTAGCATGAGAAGAAAGTCTAGATCTGGGGAATTTGCTCTCTGAGCTTTTCCATTGATGATTGCAAAGGTATATATACAGAGTTTTGTTCCTAATCACTGTACATTAACGGCTAATAAAACTAACAACCAAATCTACCTATCAAATCTGTACACGTGTAAAACTCTACAGTTAAACTTGAAAGGCAGCCGTTGTTGATGCGCAGCGTTGCAGACCTTCACTTATGCTTAAATGCTGCCGCTTTGCTCTGCTCCTTTTCCTTTGCTTTGTTCTTCATTTTATTCTTCATTAGAGCAGAGCTTTCCTTCTGAGAAGCTGTCAAGAAACTCTCAACATGATGATCACCATCTTCCTGTCTCTCTATTACCCTCCCACAAGCTGGCGAGTATATATAATATACTCCCAGCTTGGACAATAGAGATGCAAATCGATCCACTGACAGGCTTTTAGTAAAGATATCTGCAGGCTGTTCTTCAGTGGGAACATGATGCAAGGTGATTAACCCAGATTGCACTCTTTCCCTTATAACATGGCAATCCACATCAATGTTTTTTGTTATCTCATGGAACACTGGATTCTCTGCAATGTCGATTACAGACTGGTTATCACAAAACACCTTGATAGTTTGAGGGTGATTCACTCCAAAGTCCTTGAGTAGTCTAATTAGCCATTCAACTTCACAACTCAAACTGGCCAAGGCTCTATATTCTGCCTCTGAAGAAGACCAGAAACTGTCTTCTGTTTCTTAATTTTCCATGTCACAATTCCTGAACCAAAAAAGGTGCAATATCCAGTCATAGACTTCCTGGTGTCTGGACATGTGGCCCAATCTGAGTCACTGAATCCTTTGAGTTCCAGCTTGGTGTCCTTAGAATAGAGAAGTCCTTGTCCTGGTGACCCTTTGAGATACCCGAGAACTCTGTGTAGAGCTCTAAAGTGCAATGTTGTTGGACTGTCCTGATAAGTGCACAATTGTTGAATTGCAAATGCAATATCTGGTCTAGTTGTTATTAGATATTGCAACTGTCCTACAAGGTGTTTATACCCCGCAACATCAGTCAAAGGAGTGCCCCCTGAAGTTGACAAAACTTCCTTGACATAAATGGGAGTAGTTGCAGGTTTGCAGTTCTCAAAACCAGATTCTTGTAAAAGTTCTAGGCAATACTTTATTTGTGAAATAGTAATCCCTCTGACTCCTCTTGTCACTTCTAAGCCAAGGAAATACTTCAGTTCCCCCAAGTCCTTCATCTTGAACTCTCCCTGCAAAATCCTCTTTGTTTTTGTAATTGATTCCAAGCTAGCACTACCAATCATGATATCATCAACATACACAATTAGGACTACCAATGCACCTAGAACCTGTGCTGTGAAGATTGAATAGTCTGAGGAAGTTTGCTGAAATCCATGCTTAAGAAGACTTTCAGTCAATTTGGTGTACCATTGCCTACTTGCCTGGTTTAAACCATAAAGGGATTTCTTTAAATGACGCACTTTCCCTCTACAATCAACTCCTAGATTCAGACCAGGGGGTATCTCCATGTAAACCTCTTCTGCCAAATCCCTATTTATGAATGCATTGCTCACATCCATTTGATGCAAATACCAGTTCTGAACTGCAGCTACTGCAAGCATTGTTTTCACTGAACTCAACTTAGCTACTGGTGAGAAGGTATCACAGTAGTCTATGCCATAAATCTGAGTGTATCCTTTAGCAACCAGCCTTGCTTTGTACCTCTCCACTGATCCATCATAATGTAATTTAATTCTGAACACCCATTTGCATCCTATTGGTTTCTTGCCAACAGGGAGGTATGCGATCTCCCATGTACCATTGTCAATTAAGGCTTTTAACTCATCCTGAACTGCACTGTTCCAATGAGAATTTTGTACTGCCTCTTCATAAGAAGAAGGTTTTGTATGTGCACTCAGGCTTTTTATAAAATGCTGATGTCTAGAAAGCAAATGGGTATAAGAAAGTGCCTCGTGGATGGGGTGAGAAACATGATAATCTTTGTACCAATTTGGTGGTTTGATTGTTCTAGTAGACTTTCTCAATTGAGCATGAGATGGAGAGTGGGAAGGACTGTTTAGAGGTATTGGTGAAAAAGGTGAAGGAGAAGGTGAAGCAGGAGTAGAAATAGGAATGACAGATGAGTTAAAAGGAGATGAAGTGGGAATTGGAGAAGAGGTAATGGTTTGTGAATCCACAAGATGAGTTTGTGAAGTTTGATTTTTTGAAGAAGAAGAAAAGGGAGATTGTGTTGGGGAAGAGGGAGGCTGTGTGCCCCCCTCAGACTGTGGATTCACAGAAGGTGTAGAACTGAATGAAGGAATATATGGTTGGAAATTTAGGCTAGAGGAAGGTGTAGGCAGAAAGGTGAAAGGTGCTGGAGGAAGTTCAGTGTTTGGGGAAGGAGAAGAAGCAGAAGAATGGTTGGAGTAAGGGAGGATGGTTTCATGGAAAATGACATCCCTTGAGCAAAAAATATGTTTGCTTTCAAGGTCCAGCGGTTTAAATTCTATAATCCCTGCAGGAATTCCAAGGAAAATCCACTGTTTGGATCTAGGAGAGAACTTGGTTCTATGTCGACTAGCTGTGGAGGCATAAACTAGACATCCAAAAACCTTTAAAGAGCTGTATTTAGGTGGAACTCCATACAGCTTCTCATAAGGACTGATATTGTTCAAAGCATGAGTAGGGATTCTTTTGATAAGATAGGCAACACGAAGAACAAATTCACTCCAGTAAGTGATAGGAAGGCCAGATTGAAATTTAAGTGCTCTGGCCACATTCAAAAGATGCTAGTGCTTCCTTTCCACTCTCCCATTTTGCTGTGGAGTGTAAGCAACACTCATCTTATGTTCAATCCCATGATCTCTGTAGATATCATTCATATGGAATTCCATTCCTTCATCTGTTCTTATGATTTGAATGTTCTTGTTAAACTGGTTTTTCACCATAACACAAAAGGACTGCAACGAAAGTCTAGATCCATCCTTAGACTTCATCAGATGGGTCCACACACATCTACTGAGGTCATCAACAATGGTTAAGAAGTAATTAAATCCATTGTAGGAAGGTGTACTTAAAGGGCCCCAAATGTCTACATGAAGTAATCCAAACAAAGTAGGATGAACAGAGGTACTAACTGGAAATGGAGTTCTTTTCTGTTTAGACAGATGGCAAACATCACAATGAATAAGCTTAGAAACTATTGCATCAGGGTTCTGTTTATGTATGGTCTCTAATCTAGATATATAGGGATGTCCCAATCTGGCATGCCAGATATCAAAACTTTGAGGTTGGAAGTTGAGGTGAGTGGCAGCAAGACACTTTGGAGTGGTGGAATGACAACCTTCAGTGGAGAATTTGGTGTCATTGAACAAGTAAAGGCCCTTATCCACTTGGGCTAAGCCAATCCTCATATGTGTAATAAGGTCCTATATCACACAGAAAGAGGATTTAAAAATAAGTGAGATGGGATTGTTTTTGGTAAGCTTGCTGACTGAAACAAGGTTGTAACTGAAACTAGGTACAAATAGGACTTGAGAAATAAAAAGTCCACAAGGAAGTCTGACTATCCCTATGTGTGTGGCCTGGACCTTATTGCCATTAGGCAAGTTAACATAGACACCCTGCAATGTTCTATACTTCAAGTAGTACTTCAGATCACATACTATGTGATCTGTAGCACCAGTATCAAGAACCCATAACGGTTCTGTTGTGCTGGCCAAAAGAGTGGAGAGAACAATTGTACCTGAACTGGAAGGCAGATAAACTGGATGATATTGAGGGATTCCAGAATGTGCAGGCTGGTATTGACTGGTGATCGTGGCATTGGCAGCATGCCTAAATGATGGAGAGGTTGGTGGTGAAGGAGATGATTAAGGAGGTGGTGAACCAAGCAGCAATATCCTCAACCTTTCCATCTGATCGTTAGTGAGTTGCATATTGGCCAGTTCTGAAGAGTTGGTTTTGCCTGATGCATCATGAGCACCAGATGCAGCTCCAAGAATGCTAGAGTCTATATTTGTTCCAGTTTCAACTGAACCAGCAAAGCCTGAACCACTAGCTTCCTTGCTTTTCTTGTTTTTCAGTCTGTAGCATTCACTGATAATGTGATTTTCCTTTTTGCAGTACCTGCAGAATTTCTTGCCATCCTTGTAATCCCTGTTGGTGGAATTAGAGTTCTATCCTCCACCAACAGCCAAAGCCATAGATTCCACTCCCTTGGTCTTATGAACACTCTTCATCTGGCGTTCCAATTGCAAGATTTGTTTAAAAACAACATCAATGGGTGGCAAAGTGGAGTTCATAAGAACCTGAGTTCTGGCTGAATGATACATGTCATTCAAGCCTTGCATAAAATTGATCACAAAATCATTATCTTGATATCTTTCCATTGTTTCATAGGGACCATTGCAAGGGCAAGTGGGTATTGGACGATACTTCTTATACTCTTCCCACAAAACAATAGCATTAGTAAAATATTGACTCACAGATTGTTTCCCTTGAACACATTTACCCAATGCTCCCTGCAAATCATAAACCCTAATGTTGTCCTCTTGACTAAATCTGTTCTTCAGATTTTCCCAAACAGCTCGAGCAGTTTCCAAACCCATGACACTATTTGCTATATCCTTAGCCAAAGAGTTATAAATCCAGCAACGAATCGTTCCATTACAGCGGAGCCAAGATTGGTAAGTGGGTTCTGTTACCTGTGGAGTAGGAATGGTACCATTGATGAACCCAACCTTGTTCTTGGTTGCAAGAGCTACGAGCATTACTTGGCTCCATGTATGGTAGTTGCCGTCGACAAGCTTCACAGAGATGATGATAGAGAGTGCTCCATCTTGCAGCGGAAGGTAATATGGGTTGAGGTAAGGATCGTCATAGGTTGAACTTGCAGAAGCGGCTGAGGTTTGTGTTGATTTTCCTGCGGATGATTCATCACCCATGAGTGCTTGAAGAAATGGTTTTCAGAAGAAGAAGATGAAAGAAGAAATGGACAGGGAATGAAACCCTAGCGCTGGTGAGAGCAAACAGGCTCTGATACCATGAGAAGAAAGTCCAGATCTGGGGAATTTGCTCTCTGAGCTTTTCCATTGATGATTGCAAAGGTATATATACAGAGTTTTGTTCCTAATCACTGTACATTAACGGCTAATAAAACTAACAACCAAATCTACCTATCAAATCTGTACACATGTAAAACTCTACAGTTAAACTTGAAAGGCAGTCCGTTGTTGATGCGCAGCGTTGCTGACCTTCACTTATGCTTAAACGCTGCCGCTTTTCTCTACTCCTTTTCCTTCGCTTTGTTCTTCATTTTGTTCTTCATCAGAGCAGAGCTTTCCTTCTGAGAAGCTATCAGGCAACTCTCAACATGATGATCACCATCTTCATGTCTCTATATTATAGTGTTATAATTAAAAAATTTCTTGTAAAATTTTAGGTATTATAATGTTGGATGTACGGGGCGGGTATTACCAATGGGTACCCGAAACCCACGGGTATGGGGATGGGTTTGCAAAACATTCCCCTGCATGGTTATGAGACGGGTATGAGTTTGGGTATTTGAAAAAGGGGATGGGGATGGTTTAGGCAAACCCGCCCCATTACCATCCCTACTCAGGACATCCTCTGAAGGGCAGAGGTGGGAGAGACCGAGATTTGGTGGGAAGAGTTTGTTCCCCTTTTGATTTTGAACAATAAATGGGCAATTAGGTAATTGTATAATAAATCTAAAATGACTAGTAGTAATTTAGTATGACTAATAGCAATTCCCTAAAACAATACCTGATGTGGAATTTTGAGCCAGTTGAATTTCGAAAACTCACAATTATGTTTCTTTCTACTCTATCCCTAGTAAAGCGGACCTAAACCTTTTTCTCCCTCTCCTTCCCGTGGAAACAATCACAACCTTAATTTTCTCTTCTGGCTGGTTCACAATCATCGGCTAGTTCACATCTATAAAGCAGACCTTAGCATTCAAAGTTCGTTAATCACCGTTAAATGGTGACCTAAAAAAGCATTGAGAATTGATTATAAAAAAAAACAGCATAGAGAATTGAGATAGGGCTTATGTGCATAGAAGGTCATCATAATTACGGGAAACAAAACATTCCTCCATAGTTTTAACCCCCTCTCCAACTAACTCCTTCCGTGTGTTTCACCCTATAATTTCCAACCAAAATCAATAAATCAATCTATCTTCTGTAAAAATGAATAAAGGATTAAAATAGCAAGGATAAATTTGTAATTACATGATGTTATGACTGAGCAACACCTATTGAGCAGTTGGGTGCCCTTTTAGGAGAAGATTAACCGTCTTTTAGCAGTAAGGGCCACAACAAGAAAATGTTTATATATGAAGAACTATATAGGAAAAGAAATAGTACCCATGTTATGATCGGAAAACATTCATGATTCAGAGGCCAAATATATCATTAATTCTTTAATCTTTATAGATCTTCAATGTTCTAAATTGGTTCATAAAGTTGACTAAGAGTTTTAACAATTATGATATTTAGAGTTGGTGTATGCATATAATCTTTTGATTTTAAAATTGATAGATAATGATTTCGTAATGTAGTTATTTTTATGATTAAGACAATAAATGTTTTTATTTAGTGATTGAGGGTTAATTCTAAAAGTTAAAAAGCCAAAGGATGGGGTTAAGTTCTTGTTGACTTTTTTGTGTTTTAGGAATTAGGATAAACTTAAAATAACGTGGCATAAGATTGTCAAATGATGAAGAATTTTTTGGAAATGATAAGAGCAATGCAGTCCAAATCCCGCTTTAAAACTTAAAAACTTACGGTTTTACGCTTCTAGATCACTAAAACGCTTTCGTTTCTAAGTAAAAACTTTAGTGTATAAAATCATACTAAATTGCGTTTTAAAACTTAAAAACTTACGATTTTACGCTTCTAGTCCACTAAAACACTTTACGTTTTTACTTCACTGAATGGGTCTTCTTTTAATGAAATTAATTATATAAAGTAAATTTTAAAAATAAATCACCGACAATATGATATTAAAAGATGCATACCAGATACTTAGATGCATTATGAACTTCAATAAAGTAATCTAATTCACTATCTAGCATGGATTACGAAACCGTACCGGACATCAAACCGGAATCGTATTTGGCATGGTAAATCGTGGTACAACCATGGTTCAACCGTTTCCTACCGGTAAATACCGTTTTTGAAATAAAAAAATTATTTTTTTGTTAAAAAACCGTACCGTCAAAATTAGGGTACCATACCGGGAAAATACCGGAATAAAACCGGATTATACCGCCTCCCAACTTAGGTAACCAGAGCGTGAAGCGAGAGCGGGAGCGGGAGCAAGAGGGAGAGCGTCAGAGCGCCAATCTATTAAGAATTCAAATTTGAGAGCGTGAACAAAACGTCAATATTTTATTATTCTTAATTATTATTATATAAATATAATTTAAGGAAATACTATTTTGGTATTTTACTATTTTCTAAATCCTCAATTCCTTACCCATCTTTGACAAAAAAAAGGGTAAATACAATTTAATATCCAAACATTTTATTTTAAACAATATAATAGCCAAACCTTTTCGAAAACAATCTAATATCCAAATCGTCAACTTTCTGTCTGTTTGACCATTAGTTGACACTTCAAAAAAGTTTGAAGTACGACACTTCATCAATATCCATCGATATCTTCTCCGAAAAACACCCAACATATCGTAGTTCCAAACCCGAGAAGTCCATGACTCCACCATGATGGTATAGAATATCTAAATATTCAGTCATCTGCAATGCTAAAACAAGAAACAAAGTTGTATTGTGACAATTTCACCTAAACAAAGCTTTTTTGAAGTGTAAACTAACGGTCAAACGAACGTAAAATTGACAATTTGGATATTAGATTGTTTTCGAAAAGGTTTGGTTATTATATTGTTTAAAATGAAAGGTTTGGATATTAAATTGTATTTACCCAAAAAAAAATCACCATTACTTATGCGTTTCTTTCTTCTCTAGTCTGTGACAGCTGTCTACCTTCCATTCTATTCCAATCGAGTTTTTTTTTTTTTACTTTCCCTTCTTCACTTTTCCTTTATGTTTCACTCTCCTTTGCACTTCGTATTCCTTCCCCACCAACTATTCCAGAGCTTTCTTCAATGGTGGATTTGCCCAACTCAACAAAAATCACCCTCTCTTCATTAATTAAGCTGAGAATCCAGCATCCCTGCTCGCCTCCTCCGTCCTCACGGTTCCAATTTCAATTTATGGCGTCGCTCAACGATATGATTTTGGCGGAGATGGAAGGGAATAATGGCAGGAGGCGGAGAAGGGATTGCATTTGATTTGAGATGGCAACACAGCCGCCAACGGGGACGAAATTCAAAGCGTCGATGAACCACAGGCCGACTTGCTGGTAGCGCCACCGCGGCAGAGGCGGTCTTCCTCGACCATCGTGTGCACGAGATCATCCTCGTTTGTGACGGAGATTATGGCGTCGAGATCTTCTTCATCTTCTCACCTCCTCTCCTCTGTGATTTCTCCATAGGCCTGTCTATGGGAGCGACCAGCGAGGCTTCAAGAAGAATCGGCTGACGGTCAACGGTCGGAAAAGACGAATGACGAACAACAGGGGAGAAGGAATTGAAGAACCGCCGGCTGAATCAAAACCGGCCGGTATTTCGCTAAAGGTCGGTTCAATGGAAAATACCGGCCGGCACTCTTATTTCTCGGAATATAAGCTACCGTATCGGGACTTGCCTGGTTTCCGGTTTTCCCGGTTCTACCGGCCGGTGCGGCACGGTAAAGCAGTCCTTGCTATCTAGGCTCTTCTCAAATTCATTAGCATGGAGGGGAAGGTGACTTTTTTATAAGATTTATATTCATGAACTTATTATTAATTAGGAGGCTATAAGTTGCTCTACTTTAGACATGAATTGCAAGTATTTATTAACTTATCTGAATTTTGTGCACTCATATTTTTCATAGTATATGTCGTACTTAACATATTTTTAGTTCTTTTATAATATGTGTCAAACACTTACGCTTTTACGCTTTAATTCTATGCTTTACGATTTTACCCCTTTTCCGCTTCTAGATAGATTCGCGCTTTTAACTGCATTGGATAAGAGCACCACTGTTAGTTTAAGCGCTCAGAATCTTCTCATGTACCATGGGCTCGATATTTTGGATAAGTTATTTAGGTGCATAGTTTATATTGATGAAGGTGTGTATAACTGACTCGTAATCCTTAAGAGTCTTAGACAGTTAGAATTGAGAAGATTGAGTGGTACATATTATGAGGAGCTATGTTTATTCAAAAACAGATCATGTTATCAGTAACGTTGCAAGTTTTTAGGAGCACCAGGTCAATGATTAGAGTTCAGTGGATGGCCGAGTTTGTTGTTTGGTAGATTATACTTAACCTATTTTTCACTAATTCAATAAATTTTTAATCAGTTTAAATTGAGTTTATCAATATTGACTTGTTTCTCTTGTAGGGAACTAAATCATCGAGACAAAAGAAAATTACTCAACTCTCATCAGATCCTCGATCAAAAATTAGTCAAAATTTAATTTTTTGTTAGCTATTTTGTTATTAATATTTATTTGACAATATGATATTGACTGAGAAGAGATATATGGCGGTCAACATCCAATTTAATTTTTTTTAATTTTTGCTAATAAATGATATTTACCTAAATCCAAGTAGACCCATTGATTATGGGTAGGGTATGGGTGACATATATATGGGTTTGTATGTTTGTAGATGAGTTTGGGTAGGGTATGAATATTTACTTTCATAATCTAAATGTGTATGAGTAGGGTATGGATACCCATTTATTCGAGGGTGTGCTAATTACACATACAAAATTTAGACCTATTTGTAGAACTTCAAAAGTTTAGCTACCAAAATGTAATACACAAAATTTTTTGGTACCAAAATGTAATGTTCCATCAATATTTTGAGGTTTATATGCCAAAAAAATTAGGTTATAAATCTAAAGATTTATTAAGTTTAGGTACCGAACTGTAATTTGCATAGTTGAGGCTTACTTCCTTTTATAGTGATGTATTTAAGATGACAATTATTTACATTTCCTTTATAGAAAAATGAAAACTATTTATTTGATATGTATATATACCTAGCCAAGCATTCCATGTATAATTGTTGAAAATTAGCCCCGGTGAAAAAGAAAAACTCTAGAGAGAAGCAAAAGGAATACAAAATGGAACGCGCTTAAAATTTCATGCCTTCAAATCCCGTAGGGGAAATGACAACTTTCTAATAAGTAATAACCATATATATTTATTTGTAATTGGACTCGACATTGAGCTGAAAAAGTTAGTGGTTCATGCTTCAATTATTAATTCTCTAGACTGTTGGTGAGTCGTGTGCGGACCCGTTCATACTTGTCATTAGAATACGTAAAAATAGTATAATGATTAGGGTTATGGAAGGCGAGTGAAAAATGAAACGAAGAGGAAGTAGTGATGGAAAGGATTGGTGGATTGGATTCAAGTGAAATCTAAACATTGGACCAATATGTAAATTTAAAAAATTGTAGGTACGAAAATATCATAAAATTTAGATACCAAAACATAAGTGTTCAATAATTTTACATTAAAATTAAATTTGGGGTATCAAAATGTAAAATCTACATTATAGTGACTAAGTTGTAACTTAAATAAATTTGGGGTAACAAAATATTATTGTTTATGCAACAGTAACCGTACTTAAGGTTTATATATATATTAACTAGGTAGTGATGTCGCGTCTTGTCACGGGCGGAGATGGCCTATTTGCATGTATTATGTGGCCCGTTATGATCTTTTATTAGTATTATTAGGATAAAATTAATTTTTTGTTAGCAGTTTTGTTAGTAATATTGATTTGACAATATGATATCGACTAAGGATACATATATGGCGGTCAACATCCAATTTAAAGATTTTTAAAAATTTTGGCTAGTAAATGATATTTATCAAAACTCAAGTAGACCCATTGATTATTATGGGTAGGGTATGTGTGACGTATATATGAGTTTGAAAGTTTGTAGATGGGTTTGGGTAGGGTATGAATATTTACTTGCATAATCTAATTTTGTATGAGTTGGGTATGGATACCCATTTATTCGAGAGTGTTTTAATTACACATACAAAAATTAGACCTCAGAACTTCAAAAGTATAGGTACCAAAATGTAATACACTAAATTTTTAGGTATTAAAAATGTATTGTTTCATCAAAAGAATTGGTAGATTGGATTCATGGATTGGTTCAAAAGAATTGGTGGATTGGATTCATGGATTCAAAAGAAATCTAAACATTGAACCATATGTAAATTTTAAAAACTATAGGTATAAATATCTCATAAAATTTAGATATCAAAATATAAATTTCCAATTATTTTATATTAAAATTAAATTTTGGGTATCAAAATGTAAAATGTACATTATAGTGAATAAGTTATGATTTAATTAAATTTGGGGTATCAAATTATAAATTATTAGGTATCACTTCAACTTTATATATATTAATTAACACTTAAAACCTCATATTTGACTTGCCTATTCATAATGTAAGAATTGAGATTGTTTTCAAATAATCAAATTGTGTGAGAATTCAACATCGCACTTATTTGTTCAGTTTTTTTAAACTGAACAAATCTGCCAAGAAAAATTGGGAAATTTAAAGACTTTATTCATATCCTCGTTCAAAAGTAACACCAAACCAGGCCAACGAACTAATCAACCAAACAAAGAGCAGATTCAAAAACTAAACACTTTATTTATGACATTTATGTAAACTATAACATGATAATTCCTTCCTCCAGCTTCAAAAACTAATCAACCAAACAAAGAGCAGATTCAAAAACTAAACACTTTATTTATGAGGGCCGCCGGCGCCGCAGCTTCCACAACCATCGTCGCCGTGACATCAACCACCGATGCAACGAGTGTACACCGGAGCCAAGGGCGAAACTTTCCTAGCCACCTCTTCTTGCTTGATGCGGCTCACCGCAGCAGCAGCAGGTTTGAGGGCCGCCGGCGCCGCAGCCTCTTGCTTGATACTGACGCCTTGCTCCTGCTTCACCGCTGCAGCTTCCACCACCCTGGGAGTGGCGAAAGGGCTTGCAGCATAGAAACCAGAACTCCTCTGCATCTTTGCTTTCAAGTTGTCTTGATTAGCAACCAAGTTGTTACTATAGAGTTAATTCTCTATCACTTTTCTTTTGCCTATTAGCTCTAGTTTGTGCTTGGTTAGAAGAATCGTGCATATGGATCGAGTATTTATATGGAGATGTGAATGAAAGGGTTCTTATGGATCATGTTCATGCACAACTATAACTTAATACAATTGGGGAAGCCTAGGAGTTGTTCTTGGGGGTGGCTAAATTTGTGGGTTTGGTCGTTCACTTCGGTGCACCATTACTATGGAATCCCACTCGTTTTTATCAAAGAACTTTTTTTTTTTTTTGAATGGGTTTTTTTTTATCAAAGAATTAAGCTGCCCAACGAATGGGTATTTTCTATTTTGATTCAAGGATTAAACCATTTATAGGGGTGTTCAAATGGTTACCATGATTATTACCAAACTAAATAAGACTAAATTTCATTAGCCATGGAATACAACATCATAATCAAACCGTCCAAACTAATACAACAACCAAATTAACCAAACTAATGTTTAATCGGTTTGGTTAATTGATTAACCAGATTAACCAATATAAAATCACATTATCATTAAGTGAGAAAATTTTTGGTTAATTTATCAATTCATCATTTATATAATGAATAAAACATAACAATCAACACATAGTTATAGTTGATCCTTAACATAAATACATGCAACTAAGATAATTATCTTACGGTTAGTATAGAAGTATTCACCTAACAAAATTTTATCACAATGGTATGGGTTAATGAATTGTTGTGTTTGTTTGAATTGACTTAGTCTTTTAGCAATTTTGATAGGCTGAAAAGGACCTTGCTTTCAAGTTTTCATCCAACATAATGTATGAGATTTATCTAAATTAGGCGTCGTATGTTGTGGTCTACACTCTACATATACAAATATACATTATAGGAACAATATCAAGCTTTATATTTTATGAGTCTAAAGGGGATGAACGTTTAACTCTTGAGTGGTTATTCAAAGTATTAAGTATGTGTATATATTAGATATATGGCTAATTATTTATCTGGTTAATTTGGTTTGGCTGGTTAGGAGTGTCTGAAACCAAACCACCTAAACCAAACAAGCTAAGAACTTCAACCAAACCAAACCAATTAACCAAATTAACCAAACCAAATTATCCAAATAGTACTGGTTAAAACGGTTACCATGGTAACCACACCGTTTGAACATCTCTAACCATTTATGGCGGAGAACAGTTGATTTTCTTTAACTAATTCTGGCTAAGACCTAGCAAAATCTAGGGATACTAGCTAATAAGTTCCATTTTGGTTAACCGCAAATTGATTTGGCGATTAGTGATTAATCATTTAGCAAAAAATACATATTGAAAACCGAATCAATAAGTTTTTTTATTTGATAACCCAGGGAACCTCAGCCCCACGTGTCGCTTGAGCGACAGCGGGGCTTACTAAACCACTGGGGGTACCTGCATACTAACCGTGGCTTTCTGCTACCAACATCGGGGAGGCTTCGCCTCCGATACCAAGGGTGCCGCCGGGAACGCATAAGTGGCGCCACTGGGAATCGAACTCAGGACCTCCCACATCCAGAGCTCAATTGGTCCAGTGGTTTCACCACTAGGCTATGTTACCTTTGGCCGAATCAATAAGTTTTATTGACTAGTTTGGTGGTTAACCACTAACCAATAACAACCTCCACATGATTTCAAAAAAATAAATAAATAACAACCTCCATATGTGACTTTTTTTGTTATTTTGAAATTTTGTATAATTTCTTTTTAATATTAAACTATAATCAAGCAAATAATTCAATAATTAACTACACTTCTATGTTGTTACATAAAATAATAATTATAACATCAATACAAGATAACTATATCGTTAATTCATAATCCAAATCCAAATTGCAACACATAAAATTACAAATCATCGAAAGGCTTCATCTATTTATGTGTTTGCAATAGGTGTGAAATGAGATATTTGAAACTGTGACTTTGGTTAGTTTTGAATCTTGTGCCTTTTCCCTAAGTCAAAGCCAAAATTTTATAGTTATACAAGATAGCGGTTATCAATTTTTTATCGATTAATCACTTAAAATATACAGCTAACAAAAACTAAACCACTAAGAAATTATCGATTCACTTTTAACCACTAACCATCGTTCTCAATCCGATTATCGATTAAAACCAATTATCAATTTTCTTATCGACCATTCTAATACTGTTTGAGGCTCATTTCCTATGTTTTAAATCGATTTCACGCTAGGTTGCTCTTGTTGATATTTCAGGTCCTAGAACGTGAATGAAGGTTTGGGCACAAGTTTGGAGTTGATTGGACGAAGTTAGGACGTGCGACAGGAAGCCGAGGCATTTACACAAGCAAGAGCTGATTTCACATGGTCGTGTAGTGTGGCCGTGTGAATGGCTTTACGCGGCCACGAGTTGTACAGGCTGTGCAAGGGCGCCTCTGGCCGTGTGAGTTTTCCAGAGATTTGCGCGGGCAAGGCCTATTTTTACACAGTCGTGTGATGCCCGTGTGATCCCCTCGACCAACTAAGTGCAACGCCGCATTTCGGGGGTTTACACGGGCAAGATGGAGTTTTGCATGGTCGTGTGCACTGGCCGTGTAATCGGGTTGAACTATGTTTTAACCCAATTTCGGGTTTTGAATGAGAGATCCGAGTTTTGAGAGATGAAACGAAATTCTAGAGAGAGAAAGGGCAAAGAACAAACTCTAGGAGCTATATGGAGTGGATTTCTCACCATTGAAGCCCAGATTGCGTCCCCAGGAGTGAAGATTGACATCCCAGAGTAGATTATTCTCATCTTTATGAGTATGATTTCTTTGATTTCTGTTTTCCTCTCTCTCTCTCTCTCTCTCTCTCTCTCTATGGAGTATACCTCTCACTTGGGTATGAAGAACCCTAGTTCCATGTGCTAGTGATCTTGATTGTAATGACTTTTGGGATGATATACTGATTGATTTTAATCGATTGAAGTGTGTTTATTGAGTCAATTGAATCTTGATCAACTTCTCTTAATTTTTTCTTCAACCTGTGATAGATAGAATCTGAACAGGTTGTTAGAGTTTCTTCAATCGATAGGAGTGAATTGATTGTACGAGAGTCAGTTAATTCACTGCTTTGTACTGGAATATGTTTCCAGTAGTGGAGTTTTGTGTGAATCGCATGAGTAGTCTATTCCAGTGAAGGCTAGTCGCTTTCTGGGTATTCTGTCTAAGAGGGCTGGGTCAGCTTAAGAGATTCCAAGCAAATTTTGGATCTTCCGCAGTTTAATCAACAATAAATCAACCGAAGGGAATTACAACTTGAACCTAATTAAGGAGCTAGGGGGACTCATCCCCTAGTGATTCTTCTCTTGCTTTATAAAACTGGACAATTTACTGTTTTCTTTCTGCTTTGGTTTAAACTCACATTTCACTCAATTAGTCTTGCTAAATAATAGAAGTTCACGAAGTAGGTAGTAGATCTAGACCCCAGGTTGATAAATTAAACTTACCCACTATTCAACATTTCCATTCTGTGATTATACTTGGTCGCAGTTTGGTGTTGTGTTTTAGCGTATCAAGTTTTTGGCGCCGTTGCCGGGGTCTCTAGGTTATTGTAGAAACGTGAAAGTCTGTTACTTTAGCATTTTCTTTACTGCATTCTCTCTCTTCCACCTGTGTGCCTTCACGGGTTTCTTTTGTTGCTTGTGTGCAGGTAGTGCATGACCCGTAGCCAGTCAGGAAATTTGCAGCCTTTGGATCAAGAGTTTGAAAGAACTTGTCATAACTTCAAGCGAGCTTTAAAGGCGTGACTGGCTACAAAGGAATCTCTAGTTCAACTGAACATCAACCAGGATGAGGAAATGGGTGACCCAAATGCTAACGCTACGATTATCCCCGTTGAGCACACAATGGGTTATTACTTGACCGCCCGAGCTGGAGTCATGAGGCCCTCCATCCAACACCCTCAAGTTGTTGCTAACAATTTTGAGGTGAGTACCTCTATCATCTACATGCTACGCGACTCAGTGGTATTCCATGGGAAATCGGGCGAGTGCCCTAGAGTACACCTGCGGTGATTCCACGAGTTGATCGATAGAATCAAGATTAATGGAGTCCCGCAGGATGCCATCCAGCTGAGGTACTTCCCATTCACTCTGGAGGGAGAGGCCAAGATGTGGCTGGACAACCGGCCTCCGGGATCGATCACTACATTCACTGATTTGGCCAATAAATTACTGACCCACTATCATTGGGGAACAACAGGAGGTCTCAGCGAGCACCAGGTCGGGGTGTGCAAGCTATGGACACCCTGTCATTAGAGTTGATGCATGTTCTCTCTAAACTGGTTTCAGCTATGGATCGCAATGGGATAATTCCTGGGGCAGGGCAGCAGCAGGCCATGCACTTCCAGTGGTGCGAGAGTAGCCACCGCATGGTGGAAGACTAGCAGGCGATGAGGAAGTCTACTACACCCCAAGAGCAGGTGGACTTCATCGGAAATGCTCGACATTTCGATTCCTACAGCAATACCTATAATGAGGGGTGGCGCCAACATCCTAACTTTTCTTAACTTTTCTTGGGGTGGCAGTAATCCTAACCCATCAGTCACCCAAGGACCACCCAGTTTCCACAGACCGCCATACCAGCCCAGGAAGGGGCAATTCTAGCAATAGCAAGCTCTTTATCAGGTCAGACAGAAGCAGATTGTTCCTCAGCAGCAGGTGCATCCGTTTCAGCAGCCGGGTACGGTCCCAGCCTCCCAAATACTGTGTGGCCCGATGGCGAAGCTGCGAAACATTATTGGCTCCCTTGCCAGCTCTAGTGCCCAGAAATTCAGCAATATGGAGCAGTTCATGGAGAAGGCTTCGGGGTAGTTCCTGGATCTTGAAGCTGGGCAGAGGTCACTTGAAGCCGGGTTGCAGAATACACAAGCTCTTCCATGGGATATCCAGACCCAGCTGGGGAGGGTGGCTCAGGCAGTAGCATAGAGAGCTCCAGGTACCTTACCTGGTCAGACCATCCCGCACCCGCTGGACCAGAATGAGCATTGCAAGGCCATCAGTACCAAGAGTGGTAGGGTGATTGTCGATCCACCTGTT